ATTGAGTGAAGCGAAATAAGATAAAACCAACATCATCTACAAAATAAATTGTAACAACTGCGAAAAACACTACATTGGCCAAAGTGGACGTCCCTCTCCTTCGTCTTCGTATCCACGACCATAAGTTAGCCATCAAAAGACATGATATCCGCTTCCTCGTATCACTACACACAGAAAACCACAGACATCAATTCGACTGGGACAACTAACGTTCAAATATTAGACAGAGGAAACACCAAGAATGCTAGAGAATTTTTAGAAGCCTGCCTGGCATTCCAGTGAATCATCAGTCAATCGATACATGGAGACAGACAGAATTTATCAACCGATAAGAAAGAAACCTCTCTCTCACACACACAAAGGGTCAAAGTTCAAATCAAAGAAACTATCAGTTCCAATACAACAAGTAACCTAGAAGGTGTGAAAACACACAAAAACAACCAGTCACGTCCAAGATCACCCAATCACCAGGAGAGATGATTAATAAACTCGTGGAGAAATCTGAAAGCTCACTTCAGTGAATTGAAGTATGCGCTGAAGATGTCACCCAGTAGGGTGATGAAAGCTTCGCAAATTAACCATCCAGCTCAGAGAACAAAACCACATCAAAATCTTCCTGAAAATAGATATACTAAAATGTCCGTTTTCCTTCCTGTGAACTAGCCAGACTGTCTAGAATTGATAGTTCACCGACGTCTGATTCTGTCTGCTTCTGAAGTAAATTCGATTCTGGGAGACAGATTGTTTATTTTCTCCAATAATGACTGTGTAGATCTAATTTCAGCACTACAAATGTATTATCTGCATATATTAACCATATTTTAGTAGTGAGTATGCTTAAAAAGATGTTATCTTCTAATCCATTCATGAAAAGGTCAGCGACTATTGCGGGGACTGGTGAACCGAAAGCTTTTAAAAGAATTCATAAAGCCAATCAGATGGTGGTAATAATGTTCTAGACAATTTTTATCATCTTAGTAATGAAGTATAATCTAGAAAGGGATGACTACGTCGGAGTTAGGAAGAGGATCAGAATTTTGGATTACGTAATAAGTGGGAAGAAAGGGTGGTCAGTCTGAGTGGACAAAACAAACAAAAGTTAACTGAAATATGATGGTGTTAATATGAAGCCTGTGTGAGAAAAGAAATGCTACTAATTATTATTAATAAACTCGTAAAATACTTCCAGGGTTCTAACCCAAGACCTTCCTTCTACAAGGCAATCTCGTATACCATTCATCGACTGCTGGGACCCGATTCAGTGGCCAGCCCATGAATTCTAACTTCTAACAATTCGCCATTTAGCGTGACCATCATCCAGTATTTGGTGATCGCTAGTGACTTGCTACAGAACTCAGTTCCCTGGAGTTCTAGTCAGAAGTCGTGACGAGTGTGGTCCATCCAGTCAAGTGTGTGTGAGGATGGATGTCTCATTGATGACATTTGTTGGTGACAGTCACCAGTCAGATTCCACTTGAGGGTCTGTCTTGAAGGCGGTATCACTCATTATTATTATTATTGTATCCTTTAGTTCCTAGAGGAACATAGGGCTTCAGCTGCGCACCTCCATTACCTTCGGTTTTCTGACAACTTTTTCACCCTGCTCCAGGTCTGTCCACATGCTTTCATCTCCTCCTCGCATGACCTCCTCCAAGTCACCCTTGCACTGACGACCAACTCGCCGCCTCCCTTTCGGGTTCCACTCGAGCGATGGCTTGTCTAGTGATGTCACTTGATGGTTTCCTCAGGTGTGACCAATCCATCTCCATTTCTTCTGCCTATTTGTTTCACAATCGGTTCCTGATAGTTGGATCGCTCATTGCCAGAGATCCCTGTTGCTGATTTCTTCTGGCCGGCCATCTGATCTTGAGTAGGATTGAGTGAAGACAGCTGTTAATGAAGGTTTGAAGTTTGTTCGAGATGCTCTTTATGACTCACCAAGTCTCTGATCCGCATAGTAGCACTGACTTTACATTGGAGTTGAAGATCCGGATCTTATACTTGTTTTGATGCTGAGTGCTGTTGACCTCCACACGGAGTTGAGAGTAATGAAAGCTTGTCTTGCTTTTCCGATTCTGGCTTTGATATCCTCGTCAGTTCCACTGGCCTGTAGTTGAGACGATGCTTCCCAGGTAGGTGAAGGAGGTTGTTTCTTTCAGGTTCTTCCCATTTATGCTGAGTGTTCTCTGTTGTTGTTGTTGTTGCTGTTGATGTTGGCTAGGAATGTTCATCACCTCTGTTTTATCTATGATCACTTGAAGTCCTATCTTTGATCACTCATAGCTTTCTTCAATGTATAACCAATCCATCTTGATTTTCTCTTGCATATTTGTTTGATAAAAAATTTGTTATTTAGTTTGTTGGTGTAGTTCCCCGTGGGTATCTGATCTTCAGTATGGAGAAGGAGAAGCTAGTTGTTGATGACGCTATGATCCCTTGACTCACATAAAGGAAGAGACATAACAATCGTGTTGAAAATCCAAATCGTGTTCCACATGCTGAATGAAGCACATTTCAACACTGATTTCATGGTATGATTGGTTAGTCCGCTGCTTTCTAATTCTGGCTTTGACATCGTTAAACCACGAAAAATACTCATTTATTCATTAGTAAAAACACCGTTTTTTTTGTTTAGTGAAGAAATTTCTTTTCAACGACTTCATTTTCAAGCTGTACAGTCGTATTTATATTACAGAAAAGGTTATTAAGTGGCACTTAATAATTGCTCAGTCAATATACATATATAAGTGATAAGAATAACGATAATTAAAATGTTATAAGGCATAGAGTTGAAGTGGATAAATTACAAAATTATTAAGGATTGTTTTATAAGTGAATCGATATCAAAAATGTCAAGTGTTGTCTAACAAATTATGAAAATTAGGAGTACGATTACGATAAGAATGAAGATGTGAAGTGAAGTGGAAAGAATTCAAGTGGTAAAATAAAATAAAATAAAAACTAGAAAGAACATTACTATGACCAAGGTAAAGAAAGGGGTTTGACAAAACATTTTTTGAACACATAATTTAGGTTTCTGTTCATGTATAGCTAAAGCTTCGGCTAGCTATGCATAAGTGAAGAAAACGTAAACTTTTGGATAGATTCGATTTTGCCATGTAGACAACTTTGAAGAGTGAATCACGTGGAGCTGAATGACCAGATTCTAACAGGTGATCACAAATAGACGACTTTGCAGTTCTACGTTCGCCTTTCATTAAGCAAACCGGACAATCTTTAGCTACACGTTTTCGGAGAGTACACTTACAACCCCTATAACATTTGAATTATTGTTATTTTTATTACACAAAAATGTAGATTGACTGAGGAATTAACTAGTGCCATTTAATAACGTTTTTTTAAAATTTAAATACGACTGTACAGCTTGAAAATGAATTCGTTGCAAATAAATTTCTTCACTGAATAAAAACAACTGTGCTTTGACATCTTTGTCTATTCCACCTGTCAAGATGACTGAAAAAAGTCCCTTCCCCTACATTTCTGCCAATAAATGTGACTGCTGCTTGTCATCACCTTTACCTTTTCTATATATATTTCCTTACTCCTATTTCTACTGGTTCTTCCGCCATCTTGTCGGTTTTTCCTTATGGATCTTCAATTCTGTGTGACATTTGACATAAATCATCCGATAAAGTTCAGACCTTCTAAAGTCTTCTTGTCTATCCAAAATATTGCTGTCTTCTCGTTTCCCATGATCAGTCGCCTAAAACAGTCCATCACAATCAGAAATATCATCAGGAATAGGATCTAAAATAACGCCATTAAAAAAACACAAATAAGCTATGCACTTTGATAATGACTACCATTGGAATAGATAGTGCATGTTTCGCTATCTTCTGAAGATAGTCACTGGAACATGCTTGCTCTTCTGTATGTGTTTGAGATACAATTCTAGAACCCTTCTCTTCAAACACCGTTAGAACCTCATCTAATGCAATCATCAGCATGATTTGCAATTTGTTTATAATTATGTTCATATCGAAGTACTCTTTACGAAATCCAATGTAGAAAAATAAGGATTGAAAATTCAGTTCAGAAATATCATCCAAAGGCTACAAAAATGTAAATGAATTGTTTTTTAAATAAATAAGTGCCTCGCCAAAACCTAATGTCTTAGTGAAAAAAAAAACGATTTCAGGAACTTATTTAAATTTGTATCATTTTGAAACTGTAGATGTACTTCATACATCTGCTTTAGGTACAAATGTAACAACAGATGTTTTAATTAGTTAACCAATATTTTATTACTCTTGAAATCTGGACATTAGTGTTTTTTTTCCCTGTGTATTTTGAAAAATATTTGCCAGGAATTAAACACACATGTGGCATAGCTAGAAATAATTAGAGCTAAAATAAAATAGGTATTTACAGATGTTACTGAAACGGCACCTATAGAGTTTTTGAATTCAGTCTGTCCGAAAAACGAAAAGGATCCTAATTGGCTGAAATCCATTCGAAATAAAAACATCAGGTAAAAGAAAGAAAAGTGACGCGAAGTAGACTAGGCGTCAAAAAATATTTATACAAAGTGAAATAAAACCAAATAATGAAGCGAAAAAATGGAATAGAGAAGAGTAAATGTATGAAGAAAATAAATAAAACAAAAGAGAGAAAGAAAGAAAAGCGAAAAAAGAAGAATAAGATTACGGATGAATTTGTGAACAGGCAGGCGGCAGAAAAAGGAAGAAACCTGGGCCGAAAGGATAAGCGAGGACAAGAGACAACAATCACATAGAAACAAAATTAAAAAAAGAGATAAAAAATAAAGCGGGACACAGAAATCGAAGAAGTGAAGGTGTGGCGGAGAGAGAGAGAATCGGCAAAAAATCAACAAAAAGAAAAAGTGGGCAAAAAAGTTATATTCCGAAAAAAAATAGAAGAAAGAACAGCGGAGATTCATTACACAATTGTTCACTCAAATTGTGCAAAGCTGTGTTGTGTATGAAGGTGACAGGCTGTCTTGTATTCTGCACTTTCAGGTGTCAAGTGAAGAAGAAGAAGAAGACAGGGCATCGTCGAGAGGTGGAGGCGTGGTGGGAGGTGTGAGAAAGGAGGATTCCGAAGAGGGTGACTTGTTGACGGACGATGATCGTGTTGTTGGCGATGTGGACAAGGCTAGGAAGAAGACGGTGACGGGTGGAGATGGACAGGTGAGCTTCTCCGTGTATTCATTTGCTTAGTCGAAGTCTTGTCGAGAATGAGACGAGATGGAAATTGTGATGAGATGAGATGAGATGAGCTGATTTGACTTGAGTTGAGATAAAATTAGGTGAGATGAGATGAGATGAGATGAGACGAGACGAGACGTTGACGTGTGTGGACTGATGAGGCTGGTGTGAGTGGACACAACTTGTTGGTGGTGTCAGTGAGGCTTGTGATGAGTAGGAATGTGTGAGTGAGTCAGTGAGTCAGAGAGTGAGTGAGAGTGTGAGTGAGCGTGAGCGTGAGCGTGAGAGAATCGGCGTCATCAGTTGTAGTGGTTGACTGTGCGTGTGGGTGTGTGTGTGTGTGTGCGAGCGTGAGATATTGCGTGTCAGAGGGTGGTTGTGTGGGAGACTGTGTGTGTAATCACGCGTGTCCGTGGAGTAGAAATGGCAGGAGGGAATTGACACCCGGTGGATGGCCGACATTGTCGATTGGCCGATGAACGTGGAGGTGGAATGAATTTCTCGGTGTGACACAGTGGAGGATGACACTGTGAAGCGAAATATTGTGTGGTGGTGTGATGTTTTTTGAGGTGTGGTGTTGTGTGGTGTAGTGTGGATTTGTTTGTAGTTGTGTTGTGTTGTGTTGTTCTGTGATGAGTTGTGTTGTGCTTTTGTTGTGTATGAAGGTGACAGGCTGTCTTGTATTCTGCACTTTCAGGTGTCAAGTGAAGAAGAAGAAGAAGACAGGGCATCGTCGAGAGGTGGAGGCGTGGTGGGAGGTGTGAGAAAGGAGGATTCCGAAGAGGGTGACTTGTTGACGGACGATGATCGTGTTGTTGGCGATGTGGACAAGGCTAGGAAGAAGACGGTGACGGGTGGAGATGGACAGGTGAGCTTCTCCGTGTATTCATTTGCTTAGTCGAAGTCTTGTCGAGAATGAGACGAGATGGAAATTGTGATGAGATGAGATGAGATGAGCTGATTTGACTTGAGTTGAGATAAAATTAGGTGAGATGAGATGAGATGAGATGAGACGAGACGAGACGTTGACGTGTGTGGACTGATGAGGCTGGTGTGAGTGGACACAACTTGTCGGTGGTGTCAGTGAGGCTTGTGATGAGTAGGAATGTGTGAGTGAGTCAGTGAGTCAGAGAGTGAGTGAGAGTGTGAGTGAGCGTGAGCGTGAGCGTGAGAGAATCGGCGTCATCAGTTGTAGTGGTTGACTGTGCGTGTGGTGTGTGTGTGTGTGTGTGTGCGAGCGTGAGATATTGCGTGTCAGAGGGTGGTTGTGTGGGAGACTGTGTGTGTAATCACGCGTGTCCGTGGAGTAGAAATGGCAGGAGGGAATTGACACCCGGTGGATGGCCGACATTGTCGATTGGCCGATGAACGTGGAGGTGGAATGAATTTCTCGGTGTGACACAGTGGAGGATGACACTGTGAAGCGAAATATTGTGTGGTGGTGTGATGTTTTTTGAGGTGTGGTGTTGTGTGGTGTAGTGTGGATTTGTTTGTAGTTGTGTTGTGTTGTGTTGTTTTGCTGGTTGTGATGTGTTGTGTTGTTCCGTTTCTGTTGTGTATGAAGGTGACAGGCTGTCTTGTATTCTGCACTTTCAGGTGTCAAGTGAAGAAGAAGAAGAAGACAGGGCATCGTCGAGAGGTGGAGGCGTGGTGGGAGGTGTGAGAAAGGAGGATTCCGAAGAGGGTGACTTGTTGACGGACGATGATCGTGTTGTTGGCGATGTGGACAAGGCTAGGAAGAAGACGGTGACGGGTGGAGATGGACAGGTGAGCTTCTCCGTGTATTCATTTGCTTAGTCGAAGTCTTGTCGAGAATGAGACGAGATGGAAATTGTGATGAGATGAGATGAGATGAGCTGATTTGACTTGAGTTGAGATAAAATTAGGTGAGATGAGATGAGATGAGATGGGATGAGACGAGACGAGACGTTGACGTGTGTGGACTGATGAGGCTGGTGTGAGTGGACACAACTTGTTGGTGGTGTCAGTGAGGCTTGTGATGAGTAGGAATGTGTGAGTGAGTCAGTGAGTCAGAGAGTGAGTGAGAGTGTGAGTGAGCGTGAGCGTGAGCGTGAGAGAATCGGCGTCATCAGTTGTAGTGGTTGACTGTGCGTGTGTGTGTGTGTGTGTGTGTGCGAGCGTGAGATATTGCGTGTCAGAGGGTGGTTGTGTGGGAGACTGTGTGTGTAATCACGCGTGTCCGTGGAGTAGAAATGGCAGGAGGGAATTGACACCCGGTGGATGGCCGACATTGTCGATTGGCCGATGAACGTGGAGGTGGAATGAATTTCTCGGTGTGACACAGTGGAGGATGACACTGTGAAGCGAAATATTGTGTGGTGGTGTGATGTTTTTTGAGGTGTGGTGTTGTGTGGTGTAGTGTGGATTTGTTTGTAGTTGTGTTGTGTTGTGTTGTGCTGTGTGATGAGTTGTGTTGTGTTTTGTTGTGTATGAAGGTGACAGGCTGTCTTGTATTCTGCACTTTCAGGTGTCAAGTGAAGAAGAAGAAGACAGGGCATCGTCGAGAGGTGGAGGCGTGGTGGGAGGTGTGAGAAAGGAGGATTCCGAAGAGGGTGACTTGTTGACGGACGATGATCGTGTTGTTGGCGATGTGGACAAGGCTAGGAAGAAGACGGTGACGGGTGGAGATGGACAGGTGAGCTTCTCCGTGTATTCATTTGCTTAGTCGAAGTCTTGTCGAGAATGAGACGAGATGGAAATTGTGATGAGATGAGATGAGATGAGATGAGCTGATTTGACTTGAGTTGAGATAAAATTAGGTGAGATGAGATGAGATGAGATGAGACGAGACGAGACGTTGACGTGTGTGGACTGATGAGGCTGGTGTGAGTGGACACAACTTGTTGGTGGTGTCAGTGAGGCTTGTGATGAGTAGGAATGTGTGAGTGAGTCAGTGAGTCAGAGAGTGAGTGAGAGTGTGAGTGAGCGTGAGCGTGAGCGTGAGAGAATCGGCGTCATCAGTTGTAGTGGTTGACTGTGCGTGTGGTGTGTGTGTGTGTGTGTGTGCGAGCGTGAGATATTGCGTGTCAGAGGGTGGTTGTGTGGGAGACTGTGTGTGTAATCACGCGTGTCCGTGGAGTAGAAATGGCAGGAGGGAATTGACACCCGGTGGATGGCCGACATTGTCGATTGGCCGATGAACGTGGAGGTGGAATGAATTTCTCGGTGTGACACAGTGGAGGATGACACTGTGAAGCGAAATATTGTGTGGTGGTGTGATGTTTTTTGAGGTGTGGTGTTGTGTGGTGTAGTGTGGATTTGTTTGTAGTTGTGTTGTGTTGTGTTGTTCTGTTTTATGATGAGTTGTGTTGTGTTTTTGTTGTGTATGAAGGTGACAGGCTGTCTTGTATTCTGCACTTTCAGGTGTCAAGTGAAGAAGAAGAAGACAGGGCATCGTCGAGAGGTGGAGGCGTGGTGGGAGGTGTGAGAAAGGAGGATTCCGAAGAGGGTGACTTGTTGACGGACGATGATCGTGTTGTTGGCGATGTGGACAAGGCTAGGAAGAAGACGGTGACGGGTGGAGATGGACAGGTGAGCTTCTCCGTGTATTCATTTGCTTAGTCGAAGTCTTGTCGAGAATGAGACGAGATGGAAATTGTGATGAGATGAGATGAGATGAGATGAGCTGATTTGACTTGAGTTGAGATAAAATTAGGTGAGATGAGATGAGATGAGACGAGACGAGACGTTGACGTGTGTGTACTGATGAGGCTGGTGTGAGTGGACACAACTTGTTGGTGGTGTCAGTGAGGCTTGTGATGAGTAGGAATGTGTGAGTGAGTCAGTGAGTCAGAGAGTGAGTGAGAGTGTGAGTGAGCGTGAGCGTGAGCGTGAGAGAATCGGCGTCATCAGTTGTAGTGGTTGACTGTGCGTGTGGGTGTGTGTGTGTGTGTGTGCGAGCGTGAGATATTGCGTGTCAGAGGGTGGTTGTGTGGGAGACTGTGTGTGTAATCACGCGTGTCCGTGGAGTAGAAATGGCAGGAGGGAATTGACACCCGGTGGATGGCCGACATTGTCGATTGGCCGATGAACGTGGAGGTGGAATGAATTTCTCGGTGTGACACAGTGGAGGATGACACTGTGAAGCGAAATATTGTGTGGTGGTGTGATGTTTTTTGAGGTGTGGTGTTGTGTGGTGTAGTGTGGATTTGTTTGTAGTTGTGTTGTGTTGTGTTGTTCTGTGATGAGTTGTGTTGTGTTTTGTTGTGTATGAAGGTGACAGGCTGTCTTGTATTCTGCACTTTCAGGTGTCAAGTGAAGAAGAAGAAGAAGACAGGGCATCGTCGAGAGGTGGAGGCGTGGTGGGAGGTGTGAGAAAGGAGGATTCCGAAGAGGGTGACTTGTTGACGGACGATGATCGTGTTGTTGGCGATGTGGACAAGGCTAGGAAGAAGACGGTGACGGGTGGAGATGGACAGGTGAGCTTCTCCGTGTATTCATTTGCTTAGTCGAAGTCTTGTCGAGAATGAGACGAGATGGAAATTGTGATGAGATGAGATGAGATGAGATGAGCTGATTTGACTTGAGTTGAGATAAAATTAGGTGAGATGAGATGAGATGAGATGAGATGAGACGAGACGAGACGTTGACGTGTGTGGACTGATGAGGCTGGTGTGAGTGGACACAACTTGTTGGTGGTGTCAGTGAGGCTTGTGATGAGTAGGAATGTGTGAGTGAGTCAGTGAGTCAGAGAGTGAGTGAGAGTGTGAGTGAGCGTGAGCGTGAGCGTGAGAGAATCGGCGTCATCAGTTGTAGTGGTTGACTGTGCGTGTGGGTGTGTGTGTGTGTGTGTGTGCGAGCGTGAGATATTGCGTGTCAGAGGGTGGTTGTGTGGGAGACTGTGTGTGTAATCACGCGTGTCCGTGGAGTAGAAATGGCAGGAGGGAATTGACACCCGGTGGATGGCCGACATTGTCGATTGGCCGATGAACGTGGAGGTGGAATGAATTTCTCGGTGTGACACAGTGGAGGATGACACTGTGAAGCGAAATATTGTGTGGTGGTGTGATGTTTTTTGAGGTGTGGTGTTGTGTGGTGTAGTGTGGATTTGTTTGTAGTTGTGTTGTGTTGTGTTGTTCTGTTCTATGATGAGTTGTGTTGTGTTTTGTTGTGTATGAAGGTGACAGGCTGTCTTGTATTCTGCACTTTCAGGTGTCAAGTGAAGAAGAAGAAGACAGGGCATCGTCGAGAGGTGGAGGCGTGGTGGGAGGTGTGAGAAAGGAGGATTCCGAAGAGGGTGACTTGTTGACGGACGATGATCGTGTTGTTGGCGATGTGGACAAGGCTAGGAAGAAGACGGTGACGGGTGGAGATGGACAGGTGAGCTTCTCCGTGTATTCATTTGCTTAGTCGAAGTCTTGTCGAGAATGAGACGAGATGGAAATTGTGATGAGATGAGATGAGATGAGATGAGCTGATTTGACTTGAGTTGAGATAAAATTAGGTGAGATGAGATGAGATGAGATGAGACGAGACGAGACGTTGACGTGTGTGTACTGATGAGGCTGGTGTGAGTGGACACAACTTGTTGGTGGTGTCAGTGAGGCTTGTGATGAGTAGGAATGTGTGAGTGAGTCAGTGAGTCAGAGAGTGAGTGAGAGTGTGAGTGAGCGTGAGCGTGAGCGTGAGAGAATCGGCGTCATCAGTTGTAGTGGTTGACTGTGCGTGTGGGTGTGTGTGTGTGTGCGAGCGTGAGATATTGCGTGTCAGAGGGTGGTTGTGTGGGAGACTGTGTGTGTAATCACGCGTGTCCGTGGAGTAGAAATGGCAGGAGGGAATTGACACCCGGTGGATGGCCGACATTGTCGATTGGCCGATGAACGTGGAGGTGGAATGAATTTCTCGGTGTGACACAGTGGAGGATGACACTGTGAAGCGAAATATTGTGTGGTGGTGTGATGTTTTTTGAGGTGTGGTGTTGTGTGGTGTAGTGTGGATTTGTTTGTAGTTGTGTTGTGTTGTGTTGTGTTGTTTTATGATGAGTTGTGTTGTGTGTGTTTTGTTGTGTATGAAGGTGACAGGCTGTCTTGTATTCTGCACTTTCAGGTGTCAAGTGAAGAAGAAGAAGACAGGGCATCGTCGAGAGGTGGAGGCGTGGTGGGAGGTGTGAGAAAGGAGGATTCCGAAGAGGGTGACTTGTTGACGGACGATGATCGTGTTGTTGGCGATGTGGACAAGGCTAGGAAGAAGACGGTGACGGGTGGAGATGGACAGGTGAGCTTCTCCGTGTATTCATTTGCTTAGTCGAAGTCTTGTCGAGAATGAGACGAGATGGAAATTGTGATGAGATGAGATGAGATGAGCTGATTTGACTTGAGTTGAGATAAAATTAGGTGAGATGAGATGAGATGAGACGAGACGAGACGAGACGTTGACGTGTGTGGACTGATGAGGCTGGTGTGAGTGGACACAACTTGTTGGTGGTGTCAGTGAGGCTTGTGATGAGTAGGAATGTGTGAGTGAGTCAGTGAGTCAGAGAGTGAGTGAGAGTGTGAGTGAGCGTGAGCGTGAGCGTGAGAGAATCGGCGTCATCAGTTGTAGTGGTTGACTGTGCGTGGGGGTGTGTGTGTGTGTGTGTGCGAGCGTGAGATATTGCGTGTCAGAGGGTGGTTGTGTGGGAGACTGTGTGTGTAATCACGCGTGTCCGTGGAGTAGAAATGGCAGGAGGGAATTGACACCCGGTGGATGGCCGACATTGTCGATTGGCCGATGAACGTGGAGGTGGAATGAATTTCTCGGTGTGACACAGTGGAGGATGACACTGTGAAGCGAAATATTGTGTGGTGGTGTGATGTTTTTTGAGGTGTGGTGTTGTGTGGTGTAGTGTGGATTTGTTTGTAGTTGTGTTGTGTTGTGTTGTTCTGTTTTATGATGAGTTGTGTTGTGTGTGTTTTTGTTGTGTATGAAGGTGACAGGCTGTCTTGTATTCTGCACTTTCAGGTGTCAAGTGAAGAAGAAGAAGACAGGGCATCGTCGAGAGGTGGAGGCGTGGTGGGAGGTGTGAGAAAGGAGGATTCCGAAGAGGGTGACTTGTTGACGGACGATGATCGTGTTGTTGGCGATGTGGACAAGGCTAGGAAGAAGACGGTGACGGGTGGAGATGGACAGGTGAGCTTCTCCGTGTATTCATTTGCTTAGTCGAAGTCTTGTCGAGAATGAGACGAGATGGAAATTGTGATGAGATGAGATGAGATGAGCTGATTTGACTTGAGTTGAGATAAAATTAGGTGAGATGAGATGAGATGAGATGAGACGAGACGAGACGTTGACGTGTGTGTACTGATGAGGCTGGTGTGAGTGGACACAACTTGTTGGTGGTGTCAGTGAGGCTTGTGATGAGTAGGAATGTGTGAGTGAGTCAGTGAGTCAGAGAGTGAGTGAGAGTGTGAGTGAGCGTGAGCGTGAGCGTGAGAGAATCGACGTCATCAGTTGTAGTGGTTGACTGTGCGTATGGGTGTGTGTGTGTGTGTGTGCGAGCGTGAGATATTGCGTGTCAGAGGGTGGTTGTGTGGGAGACTGTGTGTGTAATCACGCGTGTCCGTGGAGTAGAAATGGCAGGAGGGAATTGACACCCGGTGGATGGCCGACATTGTCGATTGGCCGATGAACGTGGAGGTGGAATGAATTTCTCTGTGTGACACAGTGGAGGATGACACTGTGAAGCGAAATATTGTGTGGTGGTGTGATGTTTTTTGAGGTGTTTGGTTGTGTGGTGTAGTGTGGATTTGTTTGTAGTTGTGTTGTGTTGTGTTGTGTTGTTTTATGCTGGGTTGTGCTGTCTGTGTGTGTCTTCTGTTGTGTATGAAGGTGACAGGCTGTCTTGTATTCTGCACTTTCAGGTGTCAAGTGAAGAAGAAGAAGACAGGGCATCGTCGAGAGGTGGAGGCGTGGTGGGAGGTGTGAGAAAGGAGGATTCCGAAGAGGGTGACTTGTTGACGGACGATGATCGTGTTGTTGGCGATGTGGACAAGGCTAGGAAGAAGACGGTGACGGGTGGAGATGGACAGGTGAGCTTCTCCGTGTATTCATTTGTTTTTTCGAAGTCTTGTCGAGAATGAGACGAGATGGAAATTGTGATGAGATGAGATGAGATGAGATGAGCTGATTTGACTTGAGTTGAGATAAAATTAGGTGAGATGAGATGAGATGAGATGAGACGAGACGAGACGTTGACGTGTGTGGACTGATGAGGCTGGTGTGAGTGGACACAACTTGTTGGTGGTGTCAGTGAGGCTTGTGATGAGTAGGAATGTGTGAGTGAGTCAGTGAGTCAGAGAGTGAGTGAGAGTGTGAGTGAGCGTGAGCGTGAGCGTGAGAGAATCGGCGTCATCAGTTGTAGTGGTTGACTGTGCGTGTGGGTGTGTGTGTGTGTGTGTGCGAGCGTGAGATATTGCGTGTCAGAGGGTGGTTGTGTGGGAGACTGTGTGTCTAATCACGCGTGTCCGTGGAGTAGAAATGGCAGGAGGGAATTGACACCCGGTGGATGGCCGACATTGTCGATTGGCCGATGAACGTGGAGGTGGAATGAATTTCTCGGTGTGACACAGTGGAGGATGACACTGTGAAGCGAAATATTGTGTGGTGGTGTGATGTTTTTTGAGGTGTGGTGTTGTGTGGTGTAGTGTGGATTTGTTTGTAGTTGTGTTGTGTTGTGTTGTGTTGTTTTATGCTGGGTTGTGCTGTCTCGTGTCGTTGTCTTCTGTTGTGTATGAAGGTGACAGGCTGTCTTGTATTCTGCACTTTCAGGTGTCAAGTGAAGAAGAAGAAGACAGGGCATCGTCGAGAGGTGGAGGCGTGGTGGGAGGTGTGAGAAAGGAGGATTCCGAAGAGGGTGACTTGTTGACGGACGATGATCGTGTTGTTGGCGATGTGGACAAGGCTAGGAAGAAGACGGTGACGGGTGGAGATGGACAGGTGAGCTTCTCCGTGTATTCATTTGCTTAGTCGAAGTCTTGTCGAGAATGAGACGAGATGGAAATTGTGATGAGATGAGATGAGATGAGTTTTTCTGATTTGACTTGAGTTGAGATAAAATTAGGTGAGATGAGATGAGATGAGATGAGATGAGACGAGACGAGACGTTGACGTGTGTGGACTGATGAGGCTGGTGTGAGTGGACACAACTTGTTGGTGGTGTCAGTGAGGCTTGTGATGAGTAGGAATGTGTGAGTGAGTCAGTGAGTCAGAGAGTGAGTGAGAGTGTGAGTGAGCGTGAGCGTGAGCGTGAGAGAATCGGCGTCATCAGTTGTAGTGGTTGACTGTGCGTGTGGGTGTGTGTGTGTGTGTGTGCGAGCGTGAGATATTGCGTGTCAGAGGGTGGTTGTGTGGGAGACTGTGTGTCTAATCACGCGTGTCCGTGGAGTAGAAATGGCAGGAGGGAATTGACACCCGGTGGATGGCCGACATTGTCGATTGGCCGATGAACGTGGAGGTGGAATGAATTTCTCGGTGTGACACAGTGGAGGATGACACTGTGAAGCGAAATATTGTGTGGTGGTGTGATGTTTTTTGAGGTGTGGTGTTGTGTGGTGTAGTGTGGATTTGTTTGTAGTTGTGTTGTGTTGTGTTGTGTTGTTTTATGCTGGGTTGTGCTGTCTCGTGTCGTTGTCTTCTGTTGTGTATGAAGGTGACAGGCTGTCTTGTATTCTGCACTTTCAGGTGTCAAGTGAAGAAGAAGAAGACAGGGCATCGTCGAGAGGTGGAGGCGTGGTGGGAGGTGTGAGAAAGGAGGATTCCGAAGAGGGTGACTTGTTGACGGACGATGATCGTGTTGTTGGCGATGTGGACAAGGCTAGGAAGAAGACGGTGACGGGTGGAGATGGACAGGTGAGCTTCTCCGTGTATTCATTTGCTTAGTCGAAGTCTTGTCGAGAATGAGACGAGATGGAAATTGTGATGAGATGAGATGAGATGAGATGAGCTGATTTGACTTGAGTTGAGATAAAATTAGGTGAGATGAGATGAGATGAGATGAGACGAGACGAGACGTTGACGTGTGTGGACTGATGAGGCTGGTGTGAGTGGACACAACTTGTTGGTGGTGTCAGTGAGGCTTGTGATGAGTAGGAATGTGTGAGTGAGTCAGTGAGTCAGAGAGTGAGTGAGAGTGTGAGTGAGCGTGAGCGTGAGCGTGAGAGAATCGGCGTCATCAGTTGTAGTGGTTGACTGTGCGTGTGGGTGTGTGTGTGTGTGTGTGCGAGCGTGAGATATTGCGTGTCAGAGGGTGGTTGTGTGGGAGACTGTGTGTCTAATCACGCGTGTCCGTGGAGTAGAAATGGCAGGAGGGAATTGACACCCGGTGGATGGCCGACATTGTCGATTGGCCGATGAACGTGGAGGTGGAATGAATTTCTCGGTGTGACACAGTGGAGGATGACACTGTGAAGCGAAATATTGTGTGGTGGTGTGATGTTTTTTGAGGTGTGGTGTTGTGTGGTGTAGTGTGGATTTGTTTGTAGTTGTGTTGTGTTGTGTTGTGTTGTTTTATGCTGGGTTGTGCTGTCTCGTGTCGTTGTCTTCTGTTGTGTATGAAGGTGACAGGCTGTCTTGTATTCTGCACTTTCAGGTGTCAAGTGAAGAAGAAGAAGACAGGGCATCGTCGAGAGGTGGAGGCGTGGTGGGAGGTGTGAGAAAGGAGGATTCCGAAGAGGGTGACTTGTTGACGGACGATGATCGTGTTGTTGGCGATGTGGACAAGGCTAGGAAGAAGACGGTGACGGGTGGAGATGGACAGGTGAGCTTCTCCGTGTATTCATTTGCTTAGTCGAAGTCTTGTCGAGAATGAGACGAGATGGAAATTGTGATGAGATGAGATGAGATGAGTTTTTCTGATTTGACTTGAGTTGAGATAAAATTAGGTGAGATGAGATGAGATGAGATGAGACGAGACGAGACGTTGACGTGTGTGGACTGATGAGGCTGGTGTGAGTGGACACAACTTGTTGGTGGTGTCAGTGAGGCTTGTGATGAGTAGGAATGTGTGAGTGAGTCAGTGAGTCAGAGAGTGAGTGAGAGTGTGAGTGAGCGTGAGCGTGAGTGAAGAATCGGCGTCATCAGTTGTAGTGGTTGACTGTGCGTGTGGGTGTGTGTGTGTGTGTGTGCGAGCGTGAGATATTGCGTGTCAGAGGGTGGTTGTGTGGGAGACTGTGTGTCTAATCACGCGTGTCCGTGGAGTAGAAATGGCAGGAGGGAATTGACACCCGGTGGATGGCCGACATTGTCGATTGGCCGATGAACGTGGAGGTGGAATGAATTTCTCGGTGTGACACAGTGGAGGATGACACTGTGAAGCGAAATATTGTGTGGTGGTGTGATGTTTTTTGAGGTGTGGTGTTGTGTGGTGTAGTGTGGATTTGTTTGTAGTTGTGTTGTGTTGTGTTGTGTTGTTTTATGCTGGGTTGTGCTGTCTCGTGTCGTTCGTCTTCTGTTGTGTATGAAGGTGACAGGCTGTCTTGTATTCTGCACTTTCAGGTGTCAAGTGAAGAAGAAGAAGACAGGGCATCGTCGAGAGGTGGAGGCGTGGTGGGAGGTGTGAGAAAGGAGGATTCCGAAGAGGGTGACTTGTTGACGGACGATGATCGTGTTGTTGGCGATGTGGACAAGGCTAGGAAGAAGACGGTGACGGGTGGAGATGGACAGGTGAGCTTCTCCGTGTATTCATTTGCTTAGTCGAAGTCTTGTCGAGAATGAGACGAGATGGAAATTGTGATGAGATGAGATGAGATGAGATGAGCTGATTTGACTTGAGTTGAGATAAAATTAGGTGAGATGAGATGAGATGAGATGAGACGAGACGAGACGTTGACGTGTGTGGACTGATGAGGCTGGTGTGAGTGGACACAACTTGTTGGTGGTGTCAGTGAGGCTTGTGATGAGTAGGAATGTGTGAGTGAGTCAGTGAGTCAGAGAGTGAGTGAGAGTGTGAGTGAGCGTGAGCGTGAGAGAATCGGCGTCATCAGTTGTAGTGGTTGACTGTGCGTGTGGGTGTGTGTGTGTGTGTGTGCGAGCGTGAGATATTGCGTGTCAGAGGGTGGTTGTGTGGGAGACTGTGTGTGTAATCACGCGTGTCCGTGGAGTAGAAATGGCAGGAGGGAATTGACACCCGGTGGATGGCCGACATTGTCGATTGGCCGATGAACGTGGAGGTGGAATGAATTTCTCGGTGTGACACAGTGGAGGATGACACTGTGAAGCGAAATATTGTGTGGTGGTGTGATGTTTTTTGAGGTGTGGTGTTGTGTGGTGTAGTGTGGATTTGTTTGTAGTTGTGTTGTGTTGTGTTGTGTTGTTTTATGCTGGGTTGTGCTGTCTCGTGTCGTTCGTCTTCTGTTGTGTATGAAGGTGACAGGCTGTCTTGTATTCTGCACTTTCAGGTGTCAAGTGAATTAGAAGAAGACAGGGCATCGTCGAGAGGTGGAGGCGTGGTGGGAGGTGTGAGAAAGGAGGATTCCGAAGAGGGTGACTTGTTGACGGACGATGATCGTGTTGTTGGCGATGTGGACAAGGCTAGGAAGAAGACGGTGACGGGTGGAGATGGACAGGTGAGCTTCTCCGTGTATTCATTTGCTTAGTCGAAGTCTTGTCGAGAATGAGACGAGATGGAAATTGTGATGAGATGAGATGAGATGAGATGAGCTGATTTGACTTGAGTTGAGATAAAATTAGGTGAGATGAGATGAGATGAGATGAGACGAGACGAGACGTTGACGTGTGTGGACTGATGAGGCTGGTGTGAGTGGACACAACTTGTTGGTGGTGTCAGTGAGGCTTGTGATGAGTAGGAATGTGTGAGTGAGTCAGTGAGTCAGAGAGTGAGTGAGAGTGTGAGTGAGCGTGAGCGTGAGAGAATCGGCGTCATCAGTTGTAGTGGTTGACTGTGCGTGTGGTGTGTGTGTGCGAGCGTGAGATATTGCGTGTCAGAGGGTGGTTGTGTGGGAGACTGTGTGTCTAATCACGCGTGTCCGTGGAGTAGAAATGGCAGGAGGGAATTGACACCCGGTGGATGGCCGACATTGTCGATTGGCCGATGAACGTGGAGGTGGAATGAATTTCTCGGTGTGACACAGTGGAGGATGACACTGTGAAGCGAAATATTGTGTGGTGGTGTGATGTTTTTTGAGGTGTGGTGTTGTGTGGTGTAGTGTGGATTTGTTTGTAGTTGTGTTGTGTTGTGTTGTGTTGTGTTGTTTTATGCTGGGTTGTGCTGTCTCGTGTCGTTGTCTTCTGTTGTGTATGAAGGTGACAGGCTGTCTTGTATTCTGCACTTTCAGGTGTCAAGTGAAGAAGAAGAAGACAGGGCATCGTCGAGAGGTGGAGGCGTGGTGGGAGGTGTGAGAAAGGAGGATTCCGAAGAGGGTGACTTGTTGACGGACGATGATCGTGTTTTTGGCGATGTGGACAAGGCTAGGAAGAAGACGGTGACGGGTGGAGATGGACAGGTGAGCTTCTCCGTGTATTCATTTGCTTAGTCGAAGTCTTGTCGAGAATGAGACGAGATGGAAATTGTGATGAGATGAGATGAGATGAGTTTTTCTGATTTGACTTGAGTTGAGATAAAATTAGGTGAGATGAGATGAGATGAGATGAGACGAGACGAGACGTTGACGTGTGTGGACTGATGAGGCTGGTGTGAGTGGACACAACTTGTTGGTGGTGTCAGTGAGGCTTGTGATGAGTAGGAATGTGTGAGTGAGTCAGTGAGTCAGAGAGTGAGTGAGAGTGTGAGTGAGCGTGAGCGTGAGAGAATCGGCGTCATCAGTTGTAGTGGTTGACTGTGCGTGTGGGTGTGTGTGTGTGTGTGTGCGAGCGTGAGATATTGCGTGTCAGAGGGTGGTTGTGTGGGAGACTGTGTGTGTAATCACGCGTGTCCGTGGAGTAGAAATGGCAGGAGGGAATTGACACCCGGTGGATGGCCGACATTGTCGATTGGCCGATGAACGTGGAGGTGGAATGAATTTCTCGGTGTGACACAGTGGAGGATGACACTGTGAAGCGAAATATTGTGTGGTGGTGTGATGTTTTTTGAGGTGTGGTGTTGTGTGGTGTAGTGTGGATTTGTTTGTAGTTGTGTTGTGTTGTGTTGTGTTGTGTTGTTTATGCTGGGTTGTGCTGTCTCGTGTCGTTGTCTTCTGTTGTGTATGAAGGTGACAGGCTGTCTTGTATTCTGCACTTTCAGGTGTCAAGTGAAGAAGAAGAAGACAGGGCATCGTCGAGAGGTGGAGGCGTGGTGGGAGGTGTGAGAAAGGAGGATTCCGAAGAGGGTGACTTGTTGACGGACGATGATCGTGTTGTTGGCGATGTGGACAAGGCTAGGAAGAAGACGGTGACGGGTGGAGATGGACAGGTGAGCTTCTCCGTGTATTCATTTGCTTAGTCGAAGTCTTGTCGAGAATGAGACGAGATGGAAATTGTGATGAGATGAGATGAGATGAGATGAGCTGATTTGACTTGAGTTGAGATAAAATTAGGTGAGATGAGATGAGATGAGATGAGACGAGACGAGACGTTGACGTGTGTGGACTGATGAGGCTGGTGTGAGTGGACACAACTTGTTGGTGGTGTCAGTGAGGCTTGTGATGAGTAGGAATGTGTGAGTGAGTCAGTGAGTCAGAGAGTGAGTGAGAGTGTGAGTGAGCGTGAGCGTGAGAGAATCGGCGTCATCAGTTGTAGTGGTTGACTGTGCGTGTGGGTGTGTGTGTGTGTGTGCGAGCGTGAGATATTGCGTGTCAGAGGGTGGTTGTGTGGGAGACTGTGTGTGTAATCACGCGTGTCCGTGGAGTAGAAATGGCAGGAGGGAATTGACACCCGGTGGATGGCCGACATTGTCGATTGGCCGATGAACGTGGAGGTGGAATGAATTTCTCGGTGTGACACAGTGGAGGATGACACTGTGAAGCGAAATATTGTGTGGTGGTGTGATGTTTTTTGAGGTGTGGTGTTGTGTGGTGTAGTGTGGATTTGTTTGTAGTTGTGTTGTGTTGTGTTGTGTTGTTTTATGCTGGGTTGTGCTGTCTCGTGTCGTTCCGTCTTCTGTTGTGTATGAAGGTGACAGGCTGTCTTGTATTCTGCACTTTCAGGTGTCAAGTGAAGAAGAAGAAGACAGGGCATCGTCGAGAGGTGGAGGCGTGGTGGGAGGTGTGAGAAAGGAGGATTCCGAAGAGGGTGACTTGTTGACGGACGATGATCGTGTTGTTGGCGATGTGGACAAGGCTAGGAAGAAGACGGTGACGGGTGGAGATGGACAGGTGAGCTTCTCCGTGTATTCATTTGCTTAGTCGAAGTCTTGTCGAGAATGAGACGAGATGGAAATTGTGATGAGATGAGATGAGATGAGCTGATTTGACTTGAGTTGAGATAAAATTAGGTGAGATGAGATGAGATGAGATGAGACGAGACGAGACGTTGACGTGTGTGGACTGATGAGGCTGGTGTGAGTGGACACAACTTGTTGGTGGTGTCAGTGAGGCTTGTGATGAGTAGGAATGTGTAAGTGAGTCAGTGAGTCAGAGAGTGAGTGAGAGTGTGAGTGAGCGTGAGCGTGAGAGAATCGGCGTCATCAGTTGTAGTGGTTGACTGTGCGTGTGGGTGTGTGTGTGTGTGTGCGAGCGTGAGATATTGCGTGTCAGAGGGTGGTTGTGTGGGAGACTGTGTGTGTAATCACGCGTGTCCGTGTAGTAGAAATGGCAGGAGGGAATTGACACCCGGTGGATGGCCGACATTGTCGATTGGCCGATGAACGTGGAGGTGGAATGAATTTCTCGGTGTGACACAGTGGAGGATGACACTGTGAAGCGAAATATTGTGTGGTGGTGTGATGTTTTTTGAGGTGTGGTGTTGTGTGGTGTAGTGTGGATTTGTTTGTAGTTGTGTTGTGTTGTGTGTTGTGTTGTTTTATGCTGGGTTGTGCTGTCTCGTGTCGTTCCGTCTTCTGTTGTGTATGAAGGTGACAGGCTGTCTTGTATTCTGCACTTTCAGGTGTCAAGTGAAGAAGAAGAAGACAGGGCATCGTCGAGAGGTGGAGGCGTGGTGGGAGGTGTGAGAAAGGAGGATTCCGAAGAGGGTGACTTGTTGACGGACGATGATCGTGTTGTTGGCGATGTGGACAAGGCTAGGAAGAAGACGGTGACGGGTGGAGATGGACAGGTGAGCTTCTCCGTGTATTCATTTGCTTAGTCGAAGTCTTGTCGAGAATGAGACGAGATGGAAATTGTGATGAGATGAGATGAGATGAGATGAGCTGATTTGACTTGAGTTGAGATAAAATTAGGTGAGATGAGATGAGATGAGATGAGACGAGACGAGACGTTGACGTGTGTGGACTGATGAGGCTGGTGTGAGTGGACACAACTTGTTGGTGGTGTCAGTGAGGCTTGTGATGAGTAGGAATGTGTGAGTGAGTCAGTGAGTCAGAGAGTGAGTGAGAGTGTGAGTGAGCGTGAGCGTGAGCGTGAGAGAATCGGCGTCATCAGTTGTAGTGGTTGACTGTGCGTGTGGGTGTGTGTGTGTGTGTGCGAGCGTGAGATATTGCGTGTCAGAGGGTGGTTGTGTGGGAGACTGTGTGTGTAATCACGCGTGTCCGTGGAGTAGAAATGGCAGGAGGGAATTGACACCCGGTGGATGGCCGACATTGTCGATTGGCCGATGAACGTGGAGGTGGAATGAATTTCTCGGTGTGACACAGTGGAGGATGACACTGTGAAGCGAAATATTGTGTGGTGGTGTGATGTTTTTTGAGGTGTGGTGTTGTGTGGTGTAGTGTGGATTTGTTTGTAGTTGTGTTGTGTTGTGTTGTGTTGTGTTGTTTTATGCTGGGTTGTGCTGTCTCGTGTCGTTCCGTCTTCTGTTGTGTATGAAGGTGACAGGCTGTCTTGTATTCTGCACTTTCAGGTGTCAAGTGAAGAAGAAGAAGACAGGGCATCGTCGAGAGGTGGAGGCGTGGTGGGAGGTGTGAGAAAGGAGGATTCCGAAGAGGGTGACTTGTTGACGGACGATGATCGTGTTGTTGGCGATGTGGACAAGGCTAGGAAGAAGACGGTGACGGGTGGAGATGGACAGGTGAGCTTCTCCGTGTATTCATTTGCTTAGTCGAAGTCTTGTCGAGAATGAGACGAGATGGAAATTGTGATGAGATGAGATGAGATGAGATGAGCTGATTTGACTTGAGTTGAGATAAAATTAGGTGAGATGAGATGAGATGAGATGAGACGAGACGAGACGTTGACGTGTGTGGACTGATGAGGCTGGTGTGAGTGGACACAACTTGTTGGTGGTGTCAGTGAGGCTTGTGATGAGTAGGAATGTGTGAGTGAGTCAGTGAGTCAGAGAGTGAGTGAGAGTGTGAGTGAGCGTGAGCGTGAGTGAAGAATCGGCGTCATCAGTTGTAGTGGTTGACTGTGCGTGTGGGTGTGTGTGTGTGTGTGTGCGAGCGTGAGATATTGCGTGTCAGAGGGTGGTTGTGTGGGAGACTGTGTGTGTAATCACGCGTGTCCGTGGAGTAGAAATGGCAGGAGGGAATTGACACCCGGTGGATGGCCGACATTGTCGATTGGCCGATGAACGTGGAGGTGGAATGAATTTCTCGGTGTGACACAGTGGAGGATGACACTGTGAAGCGAAATATTGTGTGGTGGTGTGATGTTTTTTGAGGTGTGGTGTTGTGTGGTGTAGTGTGGATTTGTTTGTAGTTGTGTTGTGTTGTGTTGTGTTGTTTTATGCTGGGTTGTGCTGTCTCGTGTCGTTCCGTCTTCTGTTGTGTATGAAGGTGACAGGCTGTCTTGTATTCTGCACTTTCAGGTGTCAAGTGAAGAAGAAGAAGACAGGGCATCGTCGAGAGGTGGAGGCGTGGTGGGAGGTGTGAGAAAGGAGGATTCCGAAGAGGGTGACTTGTTGACGGACGATGATCGTGTTGTTGGCGATGTGGACAAGGCTAGGAAGAAGACGGTGACGGGTGGAGATGGACAGGTGAGCTTCTCCGTGTATTCATTTGCTTAGTCGAAGTCTTGTCGAGAATGAGACGAGATGGAAATTGTGATGAGATGAGATGAGATGAGATGAGCTGATTTGACTTGAGTTGAGATAAAATTAGGTGAGATGAGATGAGATGAGATGAGACGAGACGAGACGTTGACGTGTGTGGACTGATGAGGCTGGTGTGAGTGGACACAACTTGTTGGTGGTGTCAGTGAGGCTTGTGATGAGTAGGAATGTGTGAGTGAGTCAGTGAGTCAGAGAGTGAGTGAGAGTGTGAGTGAGCGTGAGCGTGAGAGAATCGGCGTCATCAGTTGTAGTGGTTGACTGTGCGTGTGGGTGTGTGTGTGTGTGTGTGTGCGAGCGTGAGATATTGCGTGTCAGAGGGTGGTTGTGTGGGAGACTGTGTGTGTAATCACGCGTGTCCGTGGAGTAGAAATGGCAGGAGGGAATTGACACCCGGTGGATGGCCGACATTGTCGATTGGCCGATGAACGTGGAGGTGGAATGAATTTCTCGGTGTGACACAGTGGAGGATGACACTGTGAAGCGAAATATTGTGTGGTGGTGTGATGTTTTTTGAGGTGTGGTGTTGTGTGGTGTAGTGTGGATTTGTTTGTAGTTGTGTTGTGTTGTGTTGTGTTGTGTTGTTTTATGCTGGGTTGTGCTGTCTCGTGTCGTTCCGTCTTCTGTTGTGTATGAAGGTGACAGGCTGTCTTGTATTCTGCACTTTCAGGTGTCAAGTGAAGAAGAAGAAGACAGGGCATCGTCGAGAGGTGGAGGCGTGGTGGGAGGTGTGAGAAAGGAGGATTCCGAAGAGGGTGACTTGTTGACGGACGATGATCGTGTTGTTGGCGATGTGGACAAGGCTAGGAAGAAGACGGTGACGGGTGGAGATGGACAGGTGAGCTTCTCCGTGTATTCATTTGCTTAGTCGAAGTCTTGTCGAGAATGAGACGAGATGGAAATTGTGATGAGATGAGATGAGATGAGATGAGCTGATTTGACTTGAGTTGAGATAAAATTAGGTGAGATGAGATGAGATGAGATGAGATGAGACGAGACGAGACGTTGACGTGTGTGGACTGATGAGGCTGGTGTGAGTGGACACAACTTGTTGGTGGTGTCAGTGAGGCTTGTGATGAGTAGGAATGTGTGAGTGAGTCAGTGAGTCAGAGAGTGACTGAGAGTGTGAGTGAGCGTGAGCGTGAGAGAATCGGCGTCATCAGTTGTAGTGGTTGACTGTGCGTGTGGGTGTGTGTGTGTGTGTGTGTGTGCGAGCGTGAGATATTGCGTGTCAGAGGGTGGTTGTGTGGGAGACTGTGTGTGTAATCACGCGTGTCCGTGGAGTAGAAATGGCAGGAGGGAATTGACACCCGGTGGATGGCCGACATTGTCGATTGGCCGATGAACGTGGAGGTGGAATGAATTTCTCGGTGTGACACAGTGGAGGATGACACTGTGAAGCGAAATATTGTGTGGTGGTGTGATGTTTTTTGAGGTGTGGTGTTGTGTGGTGTAGTGTGGATTTGTTTGTAGTTGTGTTGTGTTGTGTTGTGTTGTTTTATGCTGGGTTGTGCTGTCTCGTGTCGTTCCGTCTTCTGTTGTGTATGAAGGTGACAGGCTGTCTTGTATTCTGCACTTTCAGGTGTCAAGTGAAGAAGAAGAAGACAGGGCATCGTCGAGAGGTGGAGGCGTGGTGGGAGGTGTGAGAAAGGAGGATTCCGAAGAGGGTGACTTGTTGACGGACGATGATCGTGTTGTTGGCGATGTGGACAAGGCTAGGAAGAAGACGGTGACGGGTGGAGATGGACAGGTGAGCTTCTCCGTGTATTCATTTGCTTAGTCGAAGTCTTGTCGAGAATGAGACGAGATGGAAATTGTGATGAGATGAGATGAGATGAGATGAGCTGATTTGACTTGAGTTGAGATAAAATTAGGTGAGATGAGATGAGATGAGATGAGACGAGACGAGACGTTGACGTGTGTGGACTGATGAGGCTGGTGTAATTGGACACAAATTTTTAAATTTTTAATTGATTTTTGTTTTAGCTTTTATATTCGATTGATTTTTTGATTTATTGAATGTTTATTATTGTTTCTGGTAAGCTTTTACCTCGGTTTTATGCCTTTTTTTCGCAGTCATTTTTGGTCATTAATCCATCCTTTTTTCGAATTTTTTTTACTCTTAGAGTTTTTTTTGTTCGAGAAGTTTAATCTAATGCAATTATGAGATCACTATCATGTTACAGTCAAGTTTTTATCGCGTTATTAACAAGTCGTTGACATGCAATCGTTCCTACTTCTGATTTGACGGTTGCACTATTCCTGCTCTCAACCAGATTAATTGATTTCCAGTCCACCTTATTTTCTGTATGAATTCAGTCACTTTTGTCATAATAAATGAACCTGGTTTTACCGCTGATTCTCGCGTGTTCTGCTTTACGAGTTAAGTCGGCACTGGTCAGTAGTTAAGCAGTGACGTCGTGGCAAAAGATCTATCCTCATAACAATTGGCGATGGGGTTTCGAATTGATTGCAGTTCAATACAATCAAATAAAACCCAGATCATCCAGTGTACATCTAGCCTGTCTCCCAAATGACAATTTCATTTGAACAAATGCAACTTCTTCTTCACCAACAAAAGCAACAGTTTGGAGCTCGCCAGCTCAGCTTGATTGAAAAACTTACAAAGCAGTTTTCAATTCAAAATCTCAGCAGTTACATACAATGAACTCAAATCAAAGGGTGGACGACTCCCATTTTTGTACGGTCTACCAAAATTCCATAAGGCCAATGTTCCCTTAAGGCCCATACTATCAATGATAAACTCACCATGCCACAAACTAGCCCGATGGCTAGCTCATTCATTGAAGCCAATTCGACAAAACTTTTCACTTCATATCTTGGATGACACCTTCCAATTTTCTAAAGAATTCGATCACGTTGACATATCAGATAAACTGATGATGTCATACGACGTGACTGCCTTATTCACAAATGTGCCAGTGATGGAAACAATAGATATCATTTATAAACAAAGAGATCTATTGCCATTACCGGAGTCAGAGATGAAACGGATACTAATTCTTTGCACAAAAGACATCCAGTTTAGATTCAATAACCAATTCTACCGACAAATTGACGGGGTCGCCATGGGTTCACCCCTAGGACCCATTCTAGCAGACATCTTCATGGGCTATCTCGAACAGACGCGACTGAATGACGCTATCAATGGAACAACATACTACCGTCGATACGTCGATGATACTTTTGTTGTTTGTAACGACATGAGTCATGCATCCGTAATATTTGACCGCCTAAATGAGGTCCACCCAAACATTAAGTTCACAATGGAATACGAACACAACGATGAGTTCAATTTCGTGGGCCTAAATGTAAAAAGAAGAAACGATGGAACGGTCGAAAAGTCCATCTACAGGAAGGAAACTTGGACCGGACAATACCTTCATTATAACAGCTTCTGCCCTATGAGCTATAAGCGCGGATTAGTGAAGACACTATACGACAGGGCCAGGAAGTTATGTTCGCCTAACAAGGTCGAAGAAGAATTAAGCTTTGTTGAAAAATGCCTTGAGGAAAACGGGTATCCAAAAGAATTTATCCTAAAGTACAGCAAAGAAAGGGATGAGAAAGAGAAATCTTCAACAGTTGAGAAGACGAAAGTGTTCATTTGCCTCCCATACAAAGGAGAAACCGTGTCGCAAAAGATTGAAAAGTGGATGAAGGGAGCACTAAAGCGATGCTTCTCTGCAGCCAATCTGGTGACACTATACAGTACTACATGCTCTATAAGGCAATCGAAACTGGATAAATACCCTGCTGATGTTACCTTCAACTGCATTTATAAATTTACGTGTACCTGCGTCAGCAAGTAAATTGAAAGGACAGAAAGAAGGGCTTCTATCCAATTTTCAGAGCATATTCCAAGAAACTTATGCCTAAAAGGAAGCAGATATTTACAAAGTGCAATTACCAGACACCCACATGTGGATATGGGTCATTTTGTCGAGATTTCTAAATCCTTGAAAATATTAAACATACAAAGGACAGCGAATCTACTACGATTCGCTGCAGCAATTGCAATCAAACGTCACAGACCAAACTTATGCATACAGAAAGAGAGTGTGGTTAATCTCTCACTCCCTTAGTAACCATATCACTTTCATTACACTGATTAGTCATTCACACTAGTGAGCTCAACTCACTAAGCAATTTTTCAAATTGATGAACTTTGACCTTCTTGAGTTGCCATGTTGACACTGTTTATTAGATTTTTCTGTTTTCTGTCTTCTCTCACCCCCCCCGTTTTCTCTTCTTTCATAGTTTGACAGTATATAAATTGATGGTAACTTAAACTATAAATTATAATACTTATATTCCAGACGCGTTCACCTTATAGTGTTTTCTCTGTTACCTTTCAAACAATGAAGTATGAAATGTTATTATTTATAACCATTGTAATTTCAGGTAGTTTGCAGCTGATGAGAACCTGTGAAATAGAATGACGATATGACATTTCATACTGCAAATCTGGTCTTTCTTTCTCCATCAGAAAAAAACGAATTTATTAGGAGTTCAATTGTATAGTATACGATTGGTGGATGGTGGCTAGCAGTGGAATCCAGGATGCACATTTCGTCCTATTTGGGACTCGTCAGCTGGATGTACCTGCATTTCTCACTGAGTGATGATGTTCCCACCGAGGCTGGAACCCAGTACCCATAGTTTCGAACGCCAAAGCGTTATCCACTAGACCACTTGGGCCACGAGAGCCACCTCTTGTGCAACGGGTCATATTAATTATTGAATTGAATTTTTGATTTTCCCGTCGATTGATTGGAGCGAAAAAAAATTCAATTCAATAATTAATATGACCCGTTGCACAAGAGGTGGCTCTCGTGGCCCAAGTGGTCTAGTGGATAACGCTTTGGCGTTCGAAACTATGGGTACTGGGTTCCAGCCTCGGTGGGAACATCATCACTCACTGAGAAATGCAGGTACATCCAGCTGACGATCCCAAATAGGACGAAATGTGCATCCTGGATTCCACTGCTAGCCACCATCCACCAATCGTATACTAATTAAATACCCAGACATCGTCGAAGCATCTGCACAAGAAGCCGACATGTCAACCTGAGACCGAGCACTTCGGTCCAATCAATCGACGGGAAAATCAAAAATTCAATTCAATGTTCAGTTGTATAGTTTAATTTCTAACTTTTAACAGGCGTGACGTTTGAAGCTTGGTTTCGACGTTATGAAGATCTGTTCCGGGTTGAATGCGCTCACCTAGATGATTCGGCCAAAGTGAGACTACTCCTTCGGAAACTTGGTCCAGCCGAACATAACAAATATGTCAATCATATTCTACCAAAGAACTCCAGAGAACTCAACTTTGAAGAAACCGTTCAAACGTTAACCAATATTTTCGGTGAACAGTTATCTCTCTTCAGTATCCGTTACAATTGTTTCAAGATATCCAAAGATCCAGGAGATGATATTCTCACCTATGCTGGTAAGGTGAATCGTGAATGCGAGCGATCGAAAATTCGATCACTTACGGATGACCAGTTTAAATGCCTGATCTTTGTCTGCGGTCTCAAATCTTCAGTTGACAGTGATATTCGTACCCGAATCCTTGCAGAGATTGAACGCAAACCGGACATGACTTTACAGGAGGTAACTGCTGAGTGCCAGCGAATCATCAATCTAAAGCATGACACGAAGTTGATTGAGGACGGTCAAGTTCATGAATTTACTTCTGTTCAGGCTGTCAAGTCAAACAATTCTCTGCAAGTCAAACACAAGCCTCCCACAAATTGTTGGTTTTGTGGATCGTGGCATTTTGGTAAATTTTGCCCGTATAAAAGACATAAATGCAGTATCTGTAACAAGTATGGTCACAAGGAAGGATTTTGTCCCCCAGTGAAACCTAGATCAATCCGATCTCACAATACGATGGCACAGTCACGAAAGTTTCGATCTCGGTCGACGAAACCTCAAATCAGCAGTATGTTCGCTACCTTCAAAGTTGACTTCGAGTCAAAAAGAAAGTTTGTCACACTTTCTATCAACCAGAAGCCAGTTCGACTACAGTTAGATACTGCTTCTGATATCACAATCATATCTCCCCAGACGTGGCGGGCACTCGGGTGTCCACCTTATCAGAGAACGGAGCATACTGCAAGAAACGCGTCGGGTGACGTAATGAAATTATCTGGCCAGATTGAATGCGACGTAACTTTCCGGTCGACCTCGTTCCAAGGAACATGCTACATCACCAATCGTCATGATTTGAACTTGCTTGGTATTGACTGGATCGAAAAGATGAAACTCTGGGATGTCCCACTGAACTCAGTTTGTTCCAATGTACAGTGCTCAGATAGTCCTACCAACATGTTGATGCATCCGAACTCGACCGCAAAGTTCATCAGTCATCTTCGCACCAAACACGCTGCCGTTTTTCAAGAGTCTTTGGGTTGCTGTACCGTACAAAAAGCCAGACTATACCTCAAACCTGATGCCAAACCAGTTTTTAGACCAAAACGCCCAGTACCGTATGCCGCATTATCGTCCCTTGATGCAGAGCTGGATCGTTTAGAAAAGTTGAACGTAATCAAGCCAGTCGATTACTCATCCTGGGCAGCCCCCATAGTGGTTGTCAAGAAAGCAAACGGTACCATCAGACTTTGTGCTGATTTCTCAACAGGACTCAATAATGCCCTTGAAGATCAACCGTATCCACTACCAGTACCGCAAGATCTATTTGTCAAACTGAATGGCGGTAAATACTTCAGTAAACTTGATCTAGCTGAGGCATACCTACAGATCGAGGTCGAAGATGATTCTAAAGAGCTTCTGACAATCAACACTCACAAAGGACTGTATCAGTTCCAGCGACTTCCATATGGTGTTAAACCTGCTCCTGCTATATTCCAACAGATAATGGATGCAATATTAGCTGGTGTATCGGGAGTGGCCGTTTACCTCGATGATATCATAGTCACAGGAGAAACTCAATTCGAACTCTTCAATCGGTTGGATAAAGTCCTGACAATACTCAGTGATTCCGGTTTCCATTTACGTCCGGATAAGTGCAATTTTTTCATGACTTCAGTGAAGTACCTGGGATTCATTTTTGACAAAGATGGTCGCAAACCCGACCCCTCCAGTGTGTCAGCAATTCAACAGATGCCTGCCCCTAATAATCTCAGTACGTTGCAGTCCTTCCTGGGGATGATCAGTTACTATAGTGCGTTCCTGCCAGATTTACATCGTCTCAGGGCCCCAATGAATCAGTTGCTCATGAAGAATGCTAAATGGAACTGGTCAGAAGAATGCCAACAAGCTTTCATCAAGGTCAAGAAATTACTCCAGTCTGACCTGCTGTTAACACATTACAATCCAAAGCTGGATATAACATTAGCTGCAGATGCGTCCAACTATGGTATTGGCGCTGTCATTTCACATGTGTTTCCAGACGGTGTTGAAAAGCCAATAGCATATGCATCGCGAACCTTGACAAAGGTAGAGCAGAATTACAGTCAGGTCGAAAAGGAAGGATTAGCGCTCGTGTTTGGGATTCAAAAGTTCCACAAAATGCTGCTTGGCCGAAAGTTCACACTTTTTACTGATCACAAACCACTATTATCGATTTTTGGCTCCAAGAAAGGTATTCCAGTCTATACAGCCAATCGACTCCAACGATGGGCGACTATGCTACTAGGATACGACTTTCAGATCAAGTACAAATCTACAAAAGATTTCGGGAATGCAGATGTCCTCTCGCGTTTACTCAGCTATAACAAGCCCGCAAAGGAGGACGCTGTGATCGCCGGCGTTTCTGTCGATGAAGACGTGTGCCACGTATTGATGACGGCAATAAACACTTTACCTGTCTCAGCCGACATGGTTCAACGAGAGACGCAGCGTGACCCGACATTACAGTCAGTTCAACAGTATCTGCGTTGTGGCTGGCCCTCGCGTATTGATTGTCCAGATTTAAAACAGTTCTATCAACGACGACATTCGTTATCCCTGGTCAATGACTGCATTATGTTTGGCGAACGTGTGGTCGTGCCTCGAAGTCTCCAACAAAAAGTCATGAGTCAACTACATTTTACGCATCCTGGTATTGGCCGTATGAAATCGTTGGCACGCTGTTACGTCTACTGGCCAAATATCGATCGTGAATTAGAAGTGATGGTTCGCTCATGTTCTCGCTGTGCTCAGGCTTTGAAAATGCCTATCAAGACAGACCTACAGCCGTGGCCCAACCCAGGAAAACCGTGGTCAAGAATCCACATAGATTTTGCCGGCCCAATCAATGGCAAACAGTTTCTCGTGGTAATCGACGCGTATTCCAAGTGGCCGGAGGTTTTCATTATGCAAAATACCACAGTGACGATAACATTAAATAAGTTGGTTCAGCTTTTCAGCAGATTTGGTGTTCCAGAGATCATCGTTTCCGATAACGGACCTCAGTTTACAGCTGAACAATTCAAACAGTTTTGTGAGCGGCTAGGTGTTCAGCATATTCGCAGCCCGCCTTACCATCCTCAGTCAAATGGACAAGCAGAGCGTTTTGTTGATACACTCAAGCGCGCACTTCAGAAGTCAAACGGGGAGGGATCGATAGAGGATGTATTGCACAATTTCCTCTTCATTTATCGAACCACAACCAACCCATCATGCCCAAATCAAACATCTCCCGCAGAAGTTATGTTTGGAAGAAGATTACGTACTACTTTGGATACAATTATCCCGATCCCATCAAGACGGAGCAAATGTGGTCGAAATAGTGAATTTTGGTTCAATAGACGTCATGGCACCAAGCAAAGAAGTTTCATGGTTGGTCAGTCGGTACTGGTTCGTGATTACATACGGAGAGATCGCCCATGGGTTTCTGGAGTGATCGTTGGAAGAAAAGGCCAAGTCATTTACAAGGTCTTTTTTTGAGACCTTATTTGGGTCAGGCATGCCAATCAAATAAGAAATAGACTAGTTGGTAAACAGTTGAACGATTCCAAGTCCGCCGACGTACAATTTGAGCTATTGATAGATACGACGGATCCGAAAACGTCACATGGCCAAAATAGTCGAAACAAAGGCAAAGTGTCCCAGCAGCCAAGGAGATCACAACGACAACCAAGACCGCCAAAGTACCTACAAGTGATTCCGCGATACAAAAGCTACCGGTAGCCCTATCTTAAAAGGGGAGGTGTTAGGAAGAGGCAAAACACATGCAATTATCAGGTCATTATCATGTCTCAGTCAAGTTATTATCGCGTTATTAACAAGTCGTTGACATGCAATCGTTCCTGCTTTCTGATTGGACGCTTGCACAATTCCAACTCTCAACCGGATTGGTTGATTTCCAGTCTACCTTATTTTTGTATAAATACAGTCACTTTTGTCATAATAAATGAACCTGGTTTTACCGCTGATTCTCGCGTGTTCTGCTTTACCAGTTAAGTGGGCACTGGTCAGTAGTTAAGCAGTGACCTCGTGGCAAAAGATCTAGCATCATAACACTTCGCTTCTTTTTTCTTTTTTTTTCTCCATTATTTCTCATCATTATTATTTGCTGAATTTTTTGATAAACTCACTATCTAATCGGCTTTTTTTCTCCATTTTCATTAGAATATATTTTGCTGCATTTGTGTATGTTTTACTTGATGTGATTATCATTAGCTCTACTTATTATTATTACTGTATCCTTTAGTTCTAGAGGAACATAGGGCTTCAGCTGCGCACCTCCATTGCCTTCTGTTTCCTGACAACTTTTTCACCCGCTCCAAGTCTGTCCACATGCTTTCATCTCCTCCTCACATGACCTCCTCCAAGTCACCCTCTCATTGACGACCAACTCGCCGCTTCCTATTCACTCGGGTTCCACTCGAGCGATGGCTTGTCTAGTGATGTCCCTTGATGGTTTCCTCAGAGTACGGCCGGCCAATCCATCTCCATTTCTTCCTGCCTATTTGTTTCACAATCGGTTCCTGGTTGTTTCGCTCATTGCCGGAGATCCCTGTTGCTGATCCCTTCTGTCTATCTGATCTTGAGTATTGAGCGAAGACAACTGTTGATGAAGGTCTGAAGTTTGTTTGAGATGCTCTTTATGACGCGCCAGGTCTCTGATCCGTATAGTAGCACTGACTTTACATTGGAGTTGAAAATCCCGATCTTATTTTTGATGCTGAGTGGGGCTGTTGACCTCCACACAGATTTGAAAGTAATAAAAGCTTGCCTTGCTTTTCTGGCTTTGATATCCTCGTCAGTTCCGCCTGTAGTTGAAACGATGCTTCCCAGGTAGGTGAAGGAGGCTGTTTCTTTGAATCAATCAGAACAACACCAGCAAAAGGAAAACAGTTCACAGCAAAAAGAGCAGAAAGCGACAACAACGCTACAATACAACAACATGCAATATAGTTCTGCACAGTTAACTAAAATGATATCTCAACCATAAACTCACTGTCTTGGAACAACTTGAACATGTAAATCCAACAATATATACAATTATAGATGTGTTTATGTTTAAAAATTTCAGAAATCCAAATAGTTAGTTATAGGTATTATCTGTCAATAAGATTATGTCCTCGGATTTAGTGTTCGAAAGATAAATAATTGTAATATTTTCCACAAACTCTTGGCATGAAATTTTACAGAGTCGAGAGTTTTTATAAAATTTGAGAAATGTAGCGCAGTAGTCGAAAAGCGCGCGCGTATCTGAGATGGTAGTGCTCGTAATATGATCAGTAAATATTACTGTATAACACCGCTGGTTGTGACTTTATCAAAATAAAATTTTATCCATATTGGAGTTATAGTCTACCACAGTCTTATACTTACATGCTTTTTTACACGTATTCTTTTCTCTCGAGGTGTAGTCGAATCGATTAGTTTTTTTCTTTTCCGCTACTGCTTAGTTTTGTTTGATCACATCATGTCTACTACATATTAGCAGTCGTATTTAAAAAAATTTTTTATGAATAATTTTGAATTATTTGTCATCGTCATTATTCTTTCTCTTTTCCTTTACCCACAGAGTGAAGCTCAACAAATTGTGACTATCCATGTTGTAAGTTCTCTTTTTTTGATTGGACACTAGTCAGTAACTAGTGTAGTGTGTATAGTCCTATCTTCGCTGCAGACTGAATTCTGTCAGTCAAGCTTCCAATGTGACCACCATGCTAGGTGACTCGCCATTACGCTGCACTATGAGATGTTGCTACTAGACGGTTGGAGGCAATCGGTGGGAAGCCTTGGACGTAGATTTCGTGCTAGTTAGCACTCATCAGCAAGGCGTATCTGCAACCTTGAAGGAACTCATGTCCCTTCTGAAATTCGAACCCTCGCCACCCAGTGCTGCAGTCAGAGACGTTACCCCTAAGCTATTTGGTCTCGCGACTGACCTTCTGTAGGACTGTAATGGTAGCGTCTCTGACTGCAGGACTGGGTGACGAGGGTTCGAATATCAATAGGGACATGAGTTCCTTCAAGGTTGCAGATACGCCTTGCTGATGAGTGTTAACTAGCACTCTCCAAGGCTACCTGCTGATTGTCTCCGACCGTCTAATACCAATATATTGTAAGTGCATATATATAATCTACCCGGTGAATATTTATGCTTTCTGCATACATATATATATCACCACATTTGCAATAATTTTTCTGTCTATAATTTTTATTGGTGGATGGTGGCTAGCAGTGGAATCCACTAGGATGCACATCTCATCCTATTTGCGACTCGTCTTCTAGATGTAACTGCGTTCAGCAGTGAGTGATGATGTTCCCACCGAGACTTGAACCCACTGCCCATAGTTTCAAACGCCAAAGCGTTATCCACTAGATCACTTTGACCACGAGAGTCGTCTCTTTCTTGTGTAACGGGTTATATTCATTATTTAACTGAATTTCAGATCTTCTCATTGACTGACTGGATCAATGTGCTCGGTCACATTACATGCCCAGAATCATCTGCACAAGTAACCGACATGTCAACCTGAAACTGAGCACTTCAGTTCAATCAATTGACGGGGAAATCTAAAATTCAATTAAATTTTGCTTCTTTGTCTGATATCATTATTATTGCCACCTTGGTCAATATTTTTATTATCATCACTATTACTGTTAATAGTACCATGAGTTTTGAGTAAAACAAAATGCTTTGGTAGTACCTCATCATTTAAGCCTTCAGTATTACTCATAGGCTTTCACCTTCCCCTCAGTTAATCACCTCCATATTATCTTCACACATCCCGCTTATCAGTTCCCATTCGGATTCCACTCGCGGGCCTGTCTGCTGTGTGATATGACTCAACAGTCTGTTCAGTGTAGGTTTGATCTGTCTGCATATCCCTTTGTTGAGCAATAGTTTCTAAGTTGCTAATGTAGTTGTGTTCTCTAAGCTGGTTGGTTTATAGCTGCGAAGCTTTCATTGCACTACTAGACAACATTTTCAGCGTATACTCCAGTTTGAATTGACCTTGAACGTGATTGATTGCCTTGTGTGTTTTCAACCGACCACGTTCAAGGTCACCAGTAGAGATCACTTGGGAACTCGCGAGAAATCTAGAAGCTCACTTCATTGACATGAAGTATGCGTTGAAGATTTTAAATCACGAAAAATACCCATTTATTCACAAGTAAAAACAAACGACTTCATTTTCAAGCCATTGGGTTTCCATTAGGACTGTTCTCAGAGGATGTCTTCATGGCAAGCTTAGAGATCGGCTCACCAAAAGGAAACCATCGAGAACTCGTTTATGTGTAAAATATATATATATATAGGTGATACCTTTGTTGTCTGTGGGGAAAACTCTTCAACTGCCAAACTTCTTAGAATATTTAATGCTTCTCACCCATCTTTGCTTTTCACGGTCGAAGAAGAGTCGAATTCCTCGTTTCACTTCCTTGACGCTAAGCTAGATGGGAGAGAGAATGGAACGCTGTTAAGGTCGATTCACCGAAAGCCAACATCCACAGGGTAGTACGCTAACTTCAACAGTTGGGTACCTTTAGGGAGAAAGAGAAATCTTATTCATTCCTTATGCTCCGAAATTCGTAAATTCTGCTCTATACAGACAATTGGTAGAGAAATAGATAACCTTCTATCAAATCTTGTTAACAATCGATATCCTACAAGGTTTATCAAACGTAAAATCAAGGAAGAATCCGCTCTTAGAGAAATCACAGTGTCAAAGAAAAAACTGCTTATGGGTCTTGCATTCAAAGGTGACACCATTTCGGAATTGGTTCAAAATCGTTTATCTAAATGTATTAAAGGCACTTTTCCTGCAGGTGACTTGCAACTAGTTTTTACCAGCCGAAATATGATTAGACAATGCGTCAAGGATAGATTACTACTTATGTGCACATCTTTTACCTGCTCCTATGGAGCTGATTATATTGGACGTTGTAAGCGTAATCTCCGAAATCGTGTAGCTGAACGCTATACGGTTTGGTTAATGAAAGGCGAACGTAGAACTGCAAAGTCGTCTATTTGTGATCACCTGTTAGAGTCTGGTCATTCAGCCCCACGTGATTCATCTTTCAAGTTATATACATGGCAAAATCGAATCGATCCAAAAGTTTACGTTTTCTTCATTTATGCATAGCCGAAGCTTTAGCTATACATGAACAGAAACCTAAATTATGTGTTCAAAAGCGTTTTGTCAAACCCGTTTCTTTACCTTGGTCATAATAATGTTCTTTCTAGTTTTTTATTTTATTTTACTTTATTTTACGACTTGAATTCATTCCACTTCACTTCACATCTTTATTCTTATTGTTATTGAACTCTTAATTTTTAAAGTTTTTAGACAACACTTGACATTTTCGACATCGATTCACTTATAAATTAATCTTTAATAATTTTGTAATTTATCCACTTCAACTCTATGCCTTATAACATTTTAATTATCGTTATTCTTATCACTTATATATGCATATTAACTGAGCAATTATTTAATGCCACTTAATAACTTTTTCTTTAATATAAATACGACTACAGCCTAAAAATGAAGTTGTTATAAAGAATATTCTTCGCTGAACAAAGAAAAACTATGTTAAAGATTTTGCTAATTAGAGCAATGAAAGCTTCTCAAATAAACCATCCAGCTTAGACAACACAACTACGTCAAAATCATCCATCTGAACTATAAATGTTCACCACTATAGGTTCTAAATTGGTTTTTTGCCTGGTGGAGTCACTCGCTGTTAATCTTTTCACAAGCGTCATCTGATTCTAAGTATGGCGCGAAGTGGGCAACTGTTAACGACAGTCTGAATTAGCCTGTTGGAAATGTTTATTTTTTCATGACATGAGAATTCTCGGAACAATGTAAAGGCTATGACATGTTTTTTCTAGTGAGTGCAGTAAATTATCAAACTAATTTTTCGCAGTGATTAAGGTCTGTAGCGACAGAAGACAAGGGCCAAGCCAGCCAGATCATTTCTTGAGAAAATCAACAGATATTTATAGATTTTTATGTACATTATTATTAGCGTTATTGTTAGCAGAGAAGCAACGTCTTCTGATTGGTTATTTTCCTGCTGAAGGTTATTCTATCATCTCTTCGTTGCCGTTTCTTAGACAGTCCGGTGATATATATATATATGTCTGCGAATAGTATCCGCCCACGCAAAGTCTGCTGTGATTGGTTGTTGAGTTCCTCAAGGTTAAGAAGCTTTATTCTTGTTTTTCTCTCCAGACCCCACTCCGGCTCGTAAACATTGACGTAAATTTAATTCAGTTTTAGATTTTCCCGTCGGCTGGTTTGACCGAAGTGCTCAGGCTCAGGTTGACATGTCGATCCTTTGTGCAGATGCTTTGACGATGCCTGGGCATGTAATTAGAATTTAATTGGTGGATAGTGACTGGAGAATGCAGGCACATCCAGATGGAGAAGGAGTCCCAAATAGGACGAAATGCGCATCCTTGTGGATCCATTGCTAGTCACCATCCACCAATTAAATTGACGTAAATTGCTGTCTATCAATTTTGGGTAGCAGACTGCGGTCACCACAGGTCTATGTTACCGTTTTGATCCTGCCTTTAATATATTCAATAGTAAGTCCTATAGTTGAAACGATATTTCCAAATAATGGAGAGGACTAACTTCGTTCGAATTTCTGGATTGGTGCTTGTTGTTGTCGGGTGGTCATCTTCATCGCCTCTGTCTTCCCTATGCTCACTTTAAGTCTTATCTACAAGCTTAATCCTCCCTCCACCTTGTTGGTATTTCCCTGTAGGTCTTCGAGGTCGTATGACATAAGAGATGAGTCGTTGACGACGTCCAAATCTTCTACAGCCTTCTTGCCCCGTGCTCACAATCAGCTGCATAATCTAGTCTACAGAAATCACAAACATCACCAGTAAAAGTAGCTCTGTCTTACGTCTGTCTTCACTTCAAAAGCTTCGCTGGGACTTCCACCGTTAAACACTTAAAAAGTCACATTATCGTATAACTGCTGAATGAGGTTAATAAATTTTGAGTCACTTCACAGTGTCGAAATAGTTTCCAAATGACTTCACTGTCGATGCTGTCAAAGACCTTTCAAAAGTTTACGAGACGGTGGTAAGCCCGGAAAATAGGAGATGTTTACGCATGTATCTATCTAGCTATCCCACTAAAGAAAATCAATCCAAAATCTACAGAAACCACAGAGCACAGATGACATTGGTTGCGAACCACTCATTCACATGCATGAACTTTTCTTAAACACTTTGTATATAGCATATTTATTATGTAATTGTTAGGCTTGATAAGAAATCACTGAAAAGAATAAATTTGCTCAAACTGTTTTCTTTTGTAAGGCTAACATGATTTTTATTTGTTTATTTTCTGAAATTTAGGGACCAAAAGGAGATACAGGCCCGCAGGTAATCAATATTTTTTTATGAATTATAAATTTGTTAAATGGGATAATTTTGCTTTAGTTATCCTTTAAATGGTGTGGGATGTCTCAGTTAATTATTATTATTATCATTAACATTGTTTCGTTTACTTCCTAGGTGAACACAGGGCTTCAGTTGCATATCTCCATTGAGTTCGGTTCTCTGCCAACTTTTTTTACTCGCCTGGCTCCACGTCTGTCCACATGCTTTTATCTCCTCTTTGCATGACATCCTCCTCCATGTCACCTGCGTACTGAAGACCAATTCGTCGCTTCCTATTCGGCCGAGTTCCACTCGAGCGATGCCCTACGGTGTGATGTGACTTGAAGATGGCTTGTTTTCTCAGAGTATGGCCAATTCACCTCCATTTCTCCCTGCATATCTCTTGCACACTTGGTTCCTGCTATACTGGTTCATTTATTACCAGAGATCCCTTTTATTCATCTTTTCTGGCTGGCCATCTGATCTTCAGTAGTATTGAGGAAGACAGCTGCTAATGAAAGTATGTAGTTTGTTTGAAGTGCTCCTTGTGAGGCGGCGCTGCTGATCTCCAGACAGACTTGAGAGTGCTGAAAGCTTGCATTGCTTTCCCGACCCTTGCCTTGATATCCTCGTCAGTTCTGCCTGTAGTTAAAGGTAAAGGAGGTTGGTTCTTTCAAATTTCTCCCATTAATGCTGATTGTTGTCTGTTGTTTTTGCTGTTACCGTTGGTGTTGGTCAGGAATCTTCATCACCTGTGTTTTCTCTATGTTCACCTGAAGTCCTATCTTCTATGGATGCTTCTTCTGCCAACTCGTTGTTTTTCACTTGCATATCTTTCAGTTTATAGGAAATCAGACACATATCCTCGGAGAAATCCAGATCCTCCAAGTTTTTTATGTGGGTCAATTTTGTCTGTCTCCTTGTTGCTCGCTGTATGTTGCACTATCCAATCTACCGCAGTCAGGGAGTTAATGTAAATTGTTGTGAACTGGCATAAGTTGAAATTCAAAGACCATTGGGCTGAGTTTCACTGGCTTAATGGTCTACAAGCTCCCTAGCCTTGTTACTAGAATGTTCTGGGTTTGAACCTGGGTGGGTGCGTCCGATGAAGAGTCCTAGACCAGGCTGACGAAACAGCTTTCTAGTGCTTCGAGGTTTTCCAGTGGTTCTCTAACTGGTATCACTCCACGACTAAACATGATTATGAGTAAAAAAGCGTGCGTGAAACTTCATTTAATTATTATTACAGTTTCACCACCGGGTGAAACGACTTCCACGGTCATACATCCAAAGTCAGAAAATATTAAATGTCATTTTTCTAGATATTTTTCGTGTTTATCTAGAAGGCTGTTTGTTTCTTTGAATTTTAGGGTCCAATTGGTCCAATCGGTTCAAAAGGTCACTGTCCAGAAACAATATGTCCTTTGATTGATTTAAGTCTTTTCAAGGTAATGTAATGTACATACATGAAACATGAATTGTTAATTTTTGGTTAAATTAAGTTCGAAGCTGAGGATCAGACAAAGGAGTCTAATATTTTCTGTCAGAAGATGTAAAAAGCTGAAGTTTCATTCCGTCACTAAATTTAATTTTAAGGCAAAGTTAAATTTTCGACACCACTAACAACCAATCAGCAAACGACTTTGAACGGACCAATCACATTAAAGAGACATATATGATGAATGAAAATGTATATTTATAGAAAAAAAGCATAAAATAGAGAATAAAAAAGTTACATGGGATATCTTTCTCGAACATGTGAGAAAAACATCTCCCAGTTTAGCATGGGACTGTCAATGGAGAAGTTACACCACATCCTGTATATATATCCATCCAAATGACCATAAATGAGATCCTTTTGAGATCCACTTAAAGCCCTTATCCTATTTTTCAACCTGCCCCCAAATCCTTCAATAGAATTTGTATGTGTCCTCGTAACGGGATCCACAAAATCACTTGAATGGTTGACTCTGTGATGAATACATCCCAGAGATGACAGTGAATTGTAGCCTTTCCACTCGTCGGTGTGCATAAATGACCCCCGCTTTTTTTTTTTGGTAATAATAGGTATAAGAGTAGTTGCTTTTCTATCTGCTATCCTTAGGGAGAGAAGCGACCTAGCGAAAAAACTTCCTACGAAATATTAAAATTATCAGCTTACTCCCTCTAGCGTTAGTAGGCTTCAAACATATAGCACAACGATGAACAAACCCATCAGTTGATTTGGTATAGCTTTTTAAAGTCGTGATGCCACCACACAAACAAATTCGCTCTTTCCGGCGCAACGCAAATCCAGGAAATACTGGAAAACGCTAACCTCCTCGAATTGCAACAATAGCTTTGTAAGATCACGCATTAGAAATGAATCAAGCGCTATACAACACTGAACTGCGTTCGTGAACCTCATTGGATAATTCGACATCGTTCGTGAATCTCATTGGATAATTCACTGATTGGTAGTTAGTGGTGTCGAAAGTTTAACTTCGCCAATTTTAAATTATTCATTTTCGATACTTCAAATCTGTGAGACAGTATCTGTGTAGAAGATAAAGATAAGGTTACAGGATTTCGTCATGAATTGACATCGGTTAGAGAACCATTGGAAAATCACCAGGAAGTACTGGACAGACAGCTGTTTCGTTAATTGGCAGAATTTGGAATTCATGGACCATTGAATCAGGTTCCAGTGGCTCAGTTGTCTACAAGCCTACCTCATTACCAGAAGGCCTTGGGTTCGAACCCTGCCGGTGGTGAGTGTGTACTAATGACAAGTCACAAACTAGGATGAATGAAACAGTTGTCCACTACATCTTGATGGTTTTCCATTGGTTCTCTAACCGATGTCAGCTCATGATGACATCCTGTAACTAATTAATCAAATCCCTACAAACCAATACTTGAATAGAGACAAGGATTGTCATGTCCCTAAGGTTTTATTTTTAGTTTCTTTGGTTTCCAGTAGAATAATGAAGTTTAGCAATATTCCTCTTTGCCAGTTTGTTTTATACCATCCTATTTAACTTGCTTCATCACTACTTACAATGTTTATTCTTCATATGATCTTTTCTGTATCACTCTAAGTTGAACAAATCACCGATTCCTGTTTGGGTTCCAGTATTGGATATGGTGTCTGATGTCATTTTAACAGCTCCTCAAAGAATGCCCAATCCATCTCAATTTCCTTCTGAATACTTGTTTGGCAACGGGTTGTTGGCTGATTCCTTGGCAGAGATCCCCCTTACTTATCCCCTCTGGTTCAACCATCTAGCCTTTAGTATGAAGCAAGGACTACTGATAACGGAAGCCTCGGTTTCTCAGTTAACACATTAGAATTCAAAACATAATATTCAGTGAAGAGACCCTTCTCAACGAATTAATTATCAAGCTGTACAATCGTATATTTATGTTTTTTTAAGAAATTATATACGGTGATGGAATTAGGTCAAAGGTGTGAATACATGAAATAATATTAGTAATATGGGATGGAATTAAAATATTTGTGATTATAATCATGGTTTAATGTCAAGTGGCAAAGTAATTAATGTCATATATAGAATAATGCATAAGGTGTATAGATTTTGGAAAGGGGTACATAATTATAGGATTAGTAGACAAATATAAAATGTTACATTACATGGTGTGAAATTTGATAAGATAGAATTCAATATTGCAAAAATAAAAAAATTTAAAAATTAATAATTTTGGGTTTAAAATGTCAAGTGGGTCAAGTGGAAAAGATTCAGAGTGAGAATAGTAATAATAATAATCGAAGTAATAAGGCAGAGGTACATAGAATAACTAAATAAACAAAATAAATAAATGTCTGTCCCTCTACGGCCAAGGCAGAAGTAGGGATTGTACATACTTCTTTTGTACACAAAGATCTGGCTTAAAGTCATGAGTCGCCAAGGCCTCAGCTGCCTTTAGAAGTCTGTAATGAAGAAAACGAGGTAAGTTAGCATGAATTCTATATATGATCTTGAAATCATGGTCAGTGTTGACAGAGTGACAGAAGCCGATCAGGTGTTCCAGAATACTGAGCTTTGTACACACTTCCTTTCTCCCTTGTAAAACTGTACTGCTGGATTATGTTCTCGTATCCGTGTGGAAAGCGTCCTCTGACTACGACCAATGTACCTTGCTCCACAAGAGCAGGTGAACTGGTAGATGCACATGGAGGCGGCCAGACGGGGAGCTTATATTTTAAAGAGGTAGAGAACAACTTGCGGCTGGTGAACGTCATTAGTAATTTTACTGCAAAGGACGTCTAAATGACTGATTTAGTTAGAGAGACGGTTTTTGAGCAGATCTAAAGCTTGATCACCTTTGAATTCCAAATTCATGAATAAGGTTTTCTTTGGAACTGAGTCAGTGGCCAGTTTAGACTGCTTATCTTTCGTGTTGCTGTCAATAAATTGGTTAGGATAACCATTTTCTGCAAGTATGGCTTTTAAGAAGTCAAGTTCTAAGTCAACACAATCAGAACTACAAATGTTCCTTATCCTAAAGCAGATTGAATGAATTAGATTCCTTTTCTTGGAGATAGACACCAAACTGTAAAAGTTAATTAGTTGTGCGTCCCATGTACGTTTCCGGTGGATAGATTTTTTAAAAGATCCGTCATTACGTCTACTGAAGCACACATCAAGAAACGGAATACTTAGTTCAGATTCTTTTTCTATGATGAATTGTAAAGAATCACCAATATTTTAATTGTATTTCATATTATTATTATTATTTCATGTATTCACACCTTTGAGCTAATCTCTTCACAGGATATAATTTCTTCAAAAAGCCATATGTATACGAATGTACAGCTTGATAATAAATTCGTTGAAAAGAGTCTCTTCGCTGACTATTGTGTTCTTAATGCTACAATGGGAATTTTTAAATTATTGAAGACAGTAAAATTCCTTTGTATTTCAGTTTGTTGTTGAAACTGAACGATCCAGTTAAGCACATTTAACTGGACGTTTAGACTGCGTCGTCATTGCCAACTTCAAGTTGCTATGACTTTACAGAATTCTTCATCGCGAAAATATCCATCTCTCCTGATAGCCATTAATTGTATTAATTATTTCTACAGATCTCCTTACTACTGTCCACTCGTAGAAATAGAATTTGGCATTCTGTCATTATCATCGAACAAAGCATGCGATGGTAATCAATCAAACCTCTATCTCAGCTTTACAGACTTTGTAAAGGCCTTCGACAGACAGCGTCGATCGCGAAGTAATTTGAAAACTACTCGAGTACTACGGCGTACCCCAAATATTCATCAAGCTTATTCAACAGCTGCAGTACAAAACGGCACATATCAAGTGATACACAACGGAAAACTCAGCGAGGCGTTTGGAGTAAACACAGGAGTCAGACAAGGGTGCTTATTATCACCCAGAATGATATTCCTAATTGTGGTGGAGTGACTGAATTATGCGTCAGACAGTGGAAAACGAGAAGATAGGGATATCCTGGACCGATGTGAAGAACCTAGAAGACCTGGTTTTCGCCCATGGATGATATATGCTTGATGTCACACAAAATTGAAGCATTGTCTCAACTAAAGGAAGCCAGAACAGACGAGGATGTCAAATCGAGCGAGTATCGGGAAGGCGAGAAACACATTCATCAACCTGAAACCAATCTGAAAATCTTCGTCACTCAACTCAGCATCAACAACAAAATTCAGTCGGATTTTCAATACAAACTACGTCAAGTTAGTCAGCTATTCTATACGAATCAGAAATTTTGCGGGCGGGCGGGTCACAAAGAATATTTCCAACAGCCTGTTTTATACAGACCTTTATCAACCAACAACTGTCTTCGCTGGCTCTATACTGAAGATCAGATGGCCGGGCCGGGCCGGAAAGAATCACCAACAAGGAACTATGGGAAGGAACAAACAAAACAAGAACCGATCGCCGCCCAACAAATATGCAGGAGAATGTGGAGATGGATTGAACAATCACTGGAGAGGCCGCTCGCTGGTTGACATCGCGCTCCAGACCATTGCTCGAGTGGAAGCCCAAACGGAAGCGGAGAGTGGGACGTCAGTACAAGGGTGACATGGAGGAGATCATGTGAAGAGGAGTTGAAACAGTATGTATGGACTAACATGGATGGAGGCAGGTGAAAAGTACAGCAGGAGGAAGGCAGAAGTGGCAAGTGGAGACGTGCAGTTGAAGCCCTATTTTCCACTAGGAACCCAAGGGAACAATAATAATAGTTCTGGCTACTCAGCTTGTCTCTACTGAGTAATGATTGATCCGAATATAAGACCTCTCGTAATTCCCTAAAATTCTTAGTGTCACCCACTCTTTAATGTCATGGTATCTCTGACGCTACATATGGGAATTTTTAATTGGGGCTCAAATTCGGACCTTTATGCTTTCCACATTCTATGAACTCGACCCACAACATGATATGGTATCAATGTCACCAGTGGGCTGTAGTTCTTAAGTCCACATTTGATGTCTGTATGTGTAACAGCCTGTCATCAAGATCCCAGGAAGTTCCTATTAAGCTTCAATGAATTCTCATGGCATAGTAGACATACAAAATTATGTTGACTCAAAACTTAGATGGAGCATTTGTTCAGTACTGCTTATTTCTCAAATTATATTCCATTTGATAAACATCCACTGATGAGAACAACTCTGAATTTATTCAAACCTTCATAAGTCGTTTTATTTTAAGATGAATTTATGAGGACTCTAGTGACATGAAAGTATCCATGAAAAATCCTTATTCGAACATTAAAAGACAGTAGACCAGTAGTTCAGCGAAGAGTCTCTTTGTTCGGCAGCAAGTTCATTTTCAAAGCTTCACAATCACGAATATATATATGGTTGTCTTGTAAGTGTGTGAGTGTGTGTACAATAAATCCGCTAAATGAAAATACAATTAGTAAGTTCAGATGAATTAGATGTTGATATAACAGGGTAGTAACAAAAGTGATGAGTTGTCACAAACGATTGTTACAGAAGTGTTATGTACTCGTCGCTAAATTATTATTATGTACTGGTCGAGAATTTAATAGTCTTGACGCAAGAAGGCGGAAATCAGAAGACCACTAGGTTTGCGATGATACTTCTATTTTCCAAACACAAGGAGAAGCAATAAGTGGTATAACACCAAAGTAAGTGTTTAAGTAAGTCACACAAATTGTGAGAGCGAAATATATATGACAAGGGTGTGAACAATCATTAGACAGTCTTAACATGAATGACTAATTATAATGAAGTATCGATCCATATATACATAGCGAAATATAGCAGACATGTCAACAACAACCATATATGGATATATGTCACCAAGCAACGGACTGTCAACAAACACTCATATTATATATAATATAAGGGGAATATACATTGTTAAAGGAGACAGGTTCATACAAGTGAAATGGTCACAGACTAAGCGAGCAAACAGAAAAAGAGACCAACATACACACACACACATAAATATATATATGTGGATACATATCAAGAAGAGTTACGTAATATAACATGAATAGTTTGATGAAAGAATTGTGCTCATGATGTACATGGAAACAAAATAACATACGGAATTACGTAAAAGTTGTAAGTAGTCAGAAAATTAGGCATACAAGCAAAAGTGAGGTGGAATCAACAGAGTTGCTACCATAATACTAGAAGTGATTGAATAATTTTCTCTAGTATGCATAGTTCTGGTTCTTCCAACTGAATAGCTAGGGCTTCTGTAATGCAAAGAAGACGGAAATGTATTATCTCTGGCAGGTTGTTCTTCACTTCTTCACTTTGTAAATTACTTTTGAAGGAAGCGTTTGTGCAGCCGCATACATCGGTCGTGAAACACGCATCCTGTCAAAAAAACGGCCAAAGAACACTATTCAGCGTGGCTGCAGAAAGGAAGCACAGGGTCGTATAAGGAGTGCAGTAATCGAACATCTTGTCACCACTGGTCATTACATCTCAACAAATGTCTCCTTCAGAGTAACCGACAAAGTGAAGAACAACCAGTCAAAAGCCACACGTTTCCGTCGTTTGTGAGAAATCATCACTTTTCTTACTACCATCTTATATCAAAATCCAATTCATCTAAACTTACTAATTGTATTTTCGTTTAGCAAATTTAATCTACAAACCTACAAAAAACAACTACATATATTTGCAAGTCTACAGCTTAAAAATGAATTCGCCACTGAAAAAAGACTCTTCGCTGAACTACTGGTCTTCTGTCTATATCAAAGTGTATTTCGTCATAGGTCGATATCTGATATGTATCCATATATATATATGTATATGTGTATGTTGGTCTCTCTTTCTGTTTGCTCTCTTAGTCTGTGACCATTTCACTTTGATGAACCTGTCTCCTTCAACAATGTATATTCCCCTTATATTATATATAATATGAGTGTTTGTTGACAGTCCGTTGCTTGGTGACATATATCCATATTATATGTGTGGTTGTTGACATGTCTGCTATATTTCGCTATGTATATTTGGATCGATACTTCATTGTAATTAGCCATTCATGTTAAGACTGTCTATTGATTTGTTTACACACTTGTTTGGACATTCATATATATTTCGCTTTCAAAAATCTTGTGTGACTACTTTGGTGTGATACCACTTATTGATTCTCCTGGTGTTTTTGGAATATAGAAGTATCATCGCAAACCTAGTGGTCTTCTGATTTCCGTCTTTCTTGCGTCAGGATATATTAAATTCTTGACCAGTACATAACAATAATTTAGCGACGGGGAAAACTACTATTGACCACTCAGCAGCAGTAACATAACAATATCAATTAATAAACCACTGAAAATCAAGGAGAAAGAGAAGAGGACAGCTTTTCCATCCTAGTTTGTTAACTGACAGGAGATAAAGGTTATGAACACTGGATTTTAACTCAGTCCCTGAATAACACCGCAGTGATTCCATAACATTAAGGTCTCAAGTTCAACTCGAAGTCAGCATTATATGTTAGTTCCTCTAAAGCATTCAAAAATACGACGAAATAGCCCTCGCAGTTTTCAACACTTCTCTGACTTGAAACCATTTATTTTCCGACAGGAATTTGATACAGGCAACACATGTGGTTAGTAAAGCAGGATTTAATGAATTCATCAAATTTCGGTAGAACTCGTCAGCTGAATACTCTATATACACTGATATATATACTGTTGAAATTATATTGGGAGATATAAAACTGATAAGTAAACAAACTACATTGAATTAGTCATGCAAAAAGACGAGTGTGTGTGAATGTTTTCCAGGACATATTCAAATAGATAAGGGGAGAGAGAGAGTATGAGAGATCAAAATTAAGATAAATTGCATTACGCTTCAATTACATCACTTAGATAAACAATTAGTCATTTGAGAATATAACAAGAATTGCAAACAGAGTAATATCAATAGTAATAGTTGTAATAATAATAACAATAATAATAATGCTGAAGTGAGTTAATATAATGCTACTGATAAAAGTTTTGAATAAATAAAGAATAATAATAAGAGGTAGAATAATAAGTAAGACGTATTGCCATGGTAGATTCAGAGTGACGATTATCTCCTTTTGTACACAGAGACCTGGTTTATAAATTCGGATTTCACAAGCCTCCTCCACAATTACAAGCATCTTCCTGTTTCTTTGTCTGCTGACTGGCAGTAGTGAATGACTTGACAGCGTCGATATCATGTCCATAGTAAACAAGATGCTTTTTAATTGAGGTTTATGACACTTTGCATTCAGCTGTTTTCAACCACTTTGGTGAATGCTGCGTCGTGCGAGTAGACAATCGCCTTTCTGTAAGACCTATGCGTATTTGCTTCCACAAACACACTCATCAAATTGATATATGCAGCAGTTTGAAATGTCGAGGATTGGCGACTGGTCTTTCCTAGATTATTGAAGCACTCCCTTGGCGGTGTTAAGGAAAACAAGTTTTACAGACAGTGATAAGTTCTCTTGATAGCTTTATCGAGTCTTCGTTTGACTACTTCTTGTACATCACCTTCTTTGAATGGCGACTTGATAGAGACAGATTTCTTCTCTGACTGATGTCTGACCTCGGTGAAGTCTACTTTATAAATGAATAATTACTAAACTGACGGCGATTAACATGAACCTATGCGTAAACAAAAGTCCTGCAGAAGGTGCCAGCAAGATGAAACAGCTGTTTACAAGAGTTTGACGCATTTTACGAAGAAACCATGACTCAAAATAAAAGTGACACTGGAATTAATTAGTGTTGTCTGATGATGAATGTAAGGGAACAATCGTATTTCGGAGAAATAAAGTAAATACAGGTAAGATGAAACAGTGAGTGAAAGGTAGCGCAATAACTTATTATTATTTCCTTAGATTCGGAGTGTATACTAAAGGGCTTCCACAGCATATCTCTATTTCTTCCTACTCTCTGCTGTCCTCTAAGCTGGCTTCCCGCCCAGATTACCATCCGGTTCTAAGCCCGGAAAAAGATGAGGAGTTTGGCATAGAGCTAGCAACCCTACCTCGAAAAATGGGCACAATCTCTAAAAAAAGATTCAAAGCACAACAAAAATAGAAAAAATCAATTTATTCTTCGCCAGAATCAGGTAGACGGAATGAGGTGGGCTTGTGAAAACCTTCGGCGAGTCAGTCGGATGATAAGTCCCAATTTCGACGAAAGCAAAACTATACTGGATAACTTGAATATCGGCAATTAAAATTCCCTTCACAATAGTTTTATTACTATGTGAGTATTTCTCATTTGTGCCTTAATTCATTTAACCAAATCAGTAGAACTTTACAAACTTCTCTATGATTCTAGGGTGTTCAAGGTGATCCCGGACCAACAAATCAATGTTGCAGTTCATGCAATGCTATCAAAGGAATTACAGGCGAAAAAGGAATAAGAGTGAGTTGAAATGACGTTAATATTTTCCTAACATCAAAATTCATAATATTTCATAAGTTCACGAAGAGAATCGATTGTATACTGGTTAGATACGTACAAACACAACTTTCAATGATGCCGAATCTTGAATATAACTCTGTATTGTATTAAATCTGTACAGATTCCCGCTAAGTAGGTATACGTATTTGTTAAGCTCTTGACATAGCATACTGATTCGTGATATCCCAAGAATAATTTATTACTCACAGAAGTATCAAAGTGTCTGGATGAAATACCGACATGATTTCATTTACTCAGTTCCACAGTTCATAAGTATTATGTGTCATTGTTGGTTATATTCGCTAAGTAATTAAAAGCTCATCTTGTGACCTGAAAGTTCCTTATTCGATACTTGATCAGGTTGTCAATGTGTGCAACGGTAGAGTTCCAGACGAATAAATCAGAATGAGACGGATCCTCATTAATGCCACTAGTTGACAATGTCGCTACATCAAAAATTTACAAAGGTTACAATTTATGCGTCTTCGAATTCTTACCAAGTATTAAAGGAGAGTTAAAGGGCTGGCTGCGTGGAAGAATGTTACTAGGTTCCATACCTGGTGAGGTCATGGGTGTGTACAGATGAGGAGTGCCAGACTAGGGATATCAACTGCATAGTACTCCCCGGTTATTTGACATTTCCCAAGTAATATTGCATCATCACACAGGCTACACTGACGGTAATTTACACTGAAGAATACAAAAGTTTAGATTTTATGCAAAGAAATAAAAACACCAAAGTAAATGAGCACAAATAGAAAAAGGCATACAACATGTACGCTCTGTGGTAGAGTATAATTCCATTATGGATAAAATTTACTTTGATAAAGTCTTACACAGTGGTGTTATACAGTTAGTAATATTTACTGATGACCACGTTTCGAGCACAGTTTATCACTGCTCATAATCAGATCAAGGCATCCACACTCACAAAACTCTCTAACTTCGTTTATATAATTCCATTATTTTCCATCGCTTGATTTGATTGGTATTAGTATTTCTCATATTTCTGGTCTGAATGATGAAGATGGTGTTGTAGACTCCATGAGCAATAAGAAGTGATAGGAATGACTCATCACTTATACCGGAAGTATAGAAAATACTACAACCAATCAAGTTGAGCAATGGAAAAGTAATGGAATTATATAAACCAAGTTGGAAAGTTGTGTGAGAAGTGCCTTGATATGATTATGTGCAGCAATGAAGTATGCTCAAAACGTGGTTATAAGTAAATATGACTGTACAACAAACTGTGAGACTTCATCAAAATAAGTTTTACCCATAATGGAATGTAAGTTCTTCTCCTAGGATACACTACAACTCAGATCCTGCATTCTAAGGAGGACAAACGTCACACAGAGAGTAGATCTGTAATAAAAAAAATCAATAACAGGTGTGTTTGAGAATCCCTGTTAGCTGTCTGAATAATGTAAGTGTGGAACTTCAATAGAATGTAATTCCATATTAGATAAGTTTAATTTAAATATCATACAGTGATGACGCAGCATTATCAACTGGATAACAAGGTTTTGAGCCTAAATTATTGCCACTCATAATCATACCAATAAAGTCACGTTTTCACAATTTGTCTTTTATATATATATATATATTCTCTTTCTGTTTTTCCAACTTCCCTGGTTGTTTATTGCCACTTTCTGTATCTCCGGTGTAGGCATTACTTCATTCCGACTGGAGATGTCCAATGTTGACTCGATAAACAAAAGTTCAGTTATTAATCTCTCTCCATCCAACTAACTATATTACTTTTTAATACTCTCACCCTGTCTTACCCACCCTATTTTGTGATTACATGCAAGCGGATGTAATGCGCAATGTATTGGTTGAGCTCTGCTTTTTCTAGGTTTTTTAACTTTGACCACTCATTAAATTGGCTAGAGGATTTCATCATGAGATGATATCAGTTAGAGAACCATTGGCAAACAAGACACAGGGAGTACTGGACAGCTGTTTCGCCCCAGTTCAAGACTTTTTATCAGTATGCCCCCACTGTGGTACAAGTATATATATAATATATTGCTCCCTTGGGTTCCTAGTGGAAAATAGGGAGGGCTTCACCTGCACATCTCCACTTGCCACTTCTGTCTTCCTTCTGCTGTACTTTTCACCTGCCTCCATCCATGTTAGTCCATACATACTGTTTCAACTCCTCTTCGCACGATCTCCTCCATGTCACCCTTGCACTGAAGACCAACTCGCCGCTTCCCTTTCGGCTTCCACTCGAGCAATGGCTTGACGCGCGATGTCACCCAGCGAGCGGCCTCCTCAGCGAGTGTCCAATCCCTCTCCACATTCTCCTGCATATTTGTTGGTGCGGCGATCGGTTCTTGTTCTGTTTGTTCCTTCCCAGAGTTCCTTGTTGGTGATTCTTTCCGGCCCGGCCCGGCCATCTGATCTTCAGTATAGAGCCAGCGAAGGCAGTTGTTGATAAAGGTCTGTTTAAAACAGGCTGTTGGAAGTATTCTTTGTGACCCACCCGCTAGCCAAGTTTCTGATCCGTATGGAAGAACTGACTGAGTTGACGTTTGTATTGAAAATCCGACTGAATTTTGTTGTTGATGCTGAGTTGAGTGACGAAGATTTTCAGATTGGTTTCAGGTTGATGAATGTGTTTCTCGCCTTCCGGATACTCGTTCGATTTGACATCCTCGTCCGTTCTGGCTTCCTGTAGTTGAGACAATGCTCCCTAGATAAGTGAATAAATGAGGTTACCTCTTTCAAATGCCTCCCGTTGATGGTGGTTGACGCTGGATGTTGCTGCTGCTGTTATTGTTGTTGGTTGGTTATTTTCATCACCTTCGTCTTGTCTATGTTCACTTGGAGTCCTGTGGTTCAAGTAATTACCATGTAATTACTGTTAATGAAGTCAATTGCATAAGTCGGTAAAACTAGTAAATCAGGGTTAACTAATTACTGGAACATAAAAATTTAGACAGACGTATAATGACCCACCCTGCTGAGTTAAATAACTTAGTAAAAGAAAGAGCTTAACCCTTGCACTGCACTGCACTGCACTGCATTCCCTTTTATGTAGTCACACAGTAGAGTGGGTGGGACAGGTTGAGAGTATTAAAAAGTAATATAGTTAGTTGGGTGGAGAGAGGTGAACAACTGAATCTTTGGTTATCGATTTAACATTGGACATCTCCAGTCGGAATGACGCAATGCCTATACTCGAGATATGGAAAGTAGCAACAAACAATAAACGCAAATTGGAGGGACAGAAAGAGATAAAATGTGCATATATAAGACAAATTGTGAAAACGTGTAACTAATGTAACTAATAATAACTGATATGATTATGAGCAGTAATAATTTATGCTCAAAACTTCGTCATCCAGCTGTTGATACTGCAAGACTGTGGGATTATTGAAAAAATAGTTATTTCAATGTAAACCTTGTCAATGATACAATTAAGTGGTTGGTATTCGAAATTACACTGTTAACAGGCTAATTTTGAAGAATTATCACTTTTTGTAGCATTTGAAAATATCTTTAAAGTTGTAGTTGGGTCTTTTACACTTTACTCTCCTGTGCAACTCAAATTATCACAAAGGCTCTCTACTGTGCGTCGGTGGCACAGTGGTTAAGACTCTCGCCGACCATGCATATGGTCCGGGGTTCGAGCCCACGCCGGCGCACACCTGATATCTATGGTCGACCTGCAAAATTTGGGCTACCGATATCCATGCTGAAAATTCCATACTTGTACCAAAAATACAGTGTGGAATCAAGCTGTAAATAAAAAAATTAATAATAAAATATGTATGAAAGGAAGTAATCAAGGAGGAGTATAAGGTGAATGTCATAAACACATATTCAACAAAAAATGTGAAAATAAAATTTTTAGAAACTTCCTATTGAAGTCAGTTTATCATCAATAAGTATGTCGATAATAAACCAGTTAATGACAAGTCAGAAAGACTTAATAGAAACACCTACAACCGCAAAAGACCAGATCGGTGAAATAATTGATTGAAAAACATTTGAAAGAAGAGAACACGAAGTTCAGCAAAGATATCTTTTCGGCGATTTCATTCTCAAAAGCTGTACAACATTTGTAAGCAAACATTTGTAAGCAATTCAAGAGTAAATGATCAAACTCCTAGTCACATGCCACATCATTATGTCGAGTCAAATGTAGAAGCAATGTAAATTCTATCTCCATAAGTGTTTTCACTCTTCCAAATATACTGAAAGTCGTAATAACTAAATCTAAACGACCAATTTAAATGTATTTTTGTATGCGTGTATTTTCTGAAGACTTGTAAAACCTCATTCTACTGATGAATTCATTCCTTTTGTAGAAGATTATCTTCCGTGATGGGCGAAATTTACTTTCGTGAAATCTCACATTGTTATACAGTAACATTTACTGATGACCACGTTTCGAGCACAGTTTACCACTGCTCATAATCAGATCAAGGCATCCACACTCACAAAACTCTCTAACTTCGTTTATATAATTCCATTATTTTCCATCGCTTGATTTGATTGGTAGCAGTATTTTCTATATTTCTGGTATGAGTGACGAGTCATTCCTATTGCATGTGTTGGGTGTACACTAGATGGATGAGGCAGGATTCAGTAACCAACCTCTCTCTCTCTCCACCTACCTATATTACTTCTTAGAATGTTAACCCTCTCCCACTCACCCTATTGTATGGTTGTGTGTTAGTGCATGCAATGCGATTGCTCAGTTGGTTTTTCTAAATTACTTATCTTTGTGGGATCAATCATTCCACACCAAGCTAAAGTCTCATGTTCTAACAATGTGACCACTCCTGACCTACTATAAGAGAGAATGTAAGTCATCTATAGTTATGCCACATAAAGAGGGGACATCTGAGACCCTGCGTGCTAGGATTCTAAATAAAGAAAGAATTAAGGTGGCATTTAAATTAACAAACTCACTCAGGGACAAGCTCTGTAGGTTAAAGGACCCAGTTGACCCAATTAGACAAAATAATATAATTTATAAAATACCCTGCAATGGCTGTGAGTGAGGTCAACTGCATAGGTCACACTAGTAGGTCAGGAGTGGTCACATTGTCAGAACATGAGACTTTAGCTTGGTGTGGAATGATTGATCCCACAAAGATAAGTAATTTAGAAAAACCAACTCAGCGATCGTATTGCATGCACTAACACACAACCATACAATAGGGTGAGTGGGAGAGGGTTAACATTCTAAGAAGTAATATAGGTAGGTGGAGAGAGAGAGAGAGAGAGAGGTTGGTTACTGAATCCTGCCTCATCCTTCTAGTGTACACCCAACACATGCAATAGGAATGACTCGTCACTCATACCAGAAATATAGAAAATACTGCTACCAATCAAATCAAGCGATGGAAAATAATGGAATTATATAAACGAAGTTAGAGAGTTTTGTGAGTGTGGATGCCTTGATCTGATTATGAGCAGTGATAAACTGTGCTCGAAACGTGGTCATCAGTAATTATTACTTACTGCATAACACTGTGTGAGACTTTATCAAAATAAACTTTACCTATAATGGATTTATACTCTAACACAGCGCACAAGTTTTATTCTTATATCAGAAGATTATTTTCAAGGAAATCTATTCCAATTTTTCATATCGATTGATTTTATTTTAGAATGTGACTTGACTAGTCTTTCCTTCTATTTCAGGGGCCTAAAGGCGAAATGGGAGATAAGCGTGAATTAACATTCATGGAAGCCTTACAACTTGTTAAGTATACTTTGGATGTGACAGTAAGTGTAGTACATATAGCGAAATGAAATTCGCCATTTTCAGCTTATACTCTGAGGAGAGAAGACACTAAAGTCGTTTTGTTTACTTTTTTTGAAATCGCGAAATATTTAGATCACAGTGTGTGATCTAGTTGACACGACAAACAGGTATCAAGAGAGTAGGCGAAATAGTCTCTTGTCTTATACTGCTGATTTGAAATAATTATTGGAAACCATACAGATAAAATAGTGGTGTTTACTGTGTGGATTTCAAATCCTCCCAACCTATGACAGTAGAAATATGAGTATTGAGATCGTTAAGCGACAGGGCGAAAAACAACTAAATAGTACTAAAGAAAATCTAAGGTCAATAGCAAGATGCACAAGAGAAGCTGTCCATTCCAAGCAAAATACTAAGCCTCATTATCCTGGAGAGAATCAAACACGCTGACCTGAATGAAAAACTTCGACCGGAAAAGGCTGGATTCAGGAGGAACAAGTCATGCATCGATCAAATCGCAATACTATGGATCATTGTTGAACAGAGTTCAGAATGGCAGTCAGCTCTCCACCTCACTAAACTACATCGACTTTGAAATAGCCTTCGACAGACAGCATCGATCGAGAGGTGATTTGACAATAACTTCTCTACTACCAAGGGGTGCCGCCACCAATTATACACCTCATCCAACAGTTTTACGACAATGCTGCGTGCCTAATAATTCACAACGGAAAATTCACGGAATCCTTAGAAGTGAAAACATGAGTTAGACAAGGATGGCTGCCTAATGTCTCCAATGATTTTCGTGATTGAGGGTGGTAGACTGGATAATGAGACAGACGTAAAATGGACCCACACAAAACTTGGAGGATATGGACATCGCCGATGATATATGTCTGATTTCCAACAAATTGGAAGATATGCAAGTGAAAAGCAACGTGATGGCAGAAGAAGCATCAAAGATAGTACAAAGATAGGTGAACATAGAGAAAACAGGTAGGTGATGAAAATTCCTGGTCAACACCAACAGACAACAATCAACATCGATGGAGAAATCTGGAAGAAGCGAATTCCTTCACCTACCCACCTTCCTGGGAAGCGTCATTTCAACTACAGGTGGATGGAACTCATGAAGACATCAAGGCAAGGATTTAGAAAGTAAGGAAAGCTTTCATTAATCTCAAGTCTGTGTGGAGATCAACACTCAGCATTCAGCGTTAAAATGAAAATAAGATCCGAATTTTCAACTCCAATGTGAAGTAATTACTAATCTACATGGATCAGAAATTTGGCGCGTCATGAAGAGCATTTAGAACAAACTACAGACCTTCATCAACTGTCTGTCTTCGCTAAATACTACTTAAGATCAGATGGTCAGCCAGAAAAGATGAGCAACAGGGATCTCTAGAAATGAATGAATCAACCCAGCAAGAACCAATTGTGCAACAAACATTCAGGAAGAAATGGAGGTGGATTGACCATACTCTGAGGAAACAAACCATCAATTGACATCACACGACAGGCTCTCGAGTGGAACCCGAACGTGAAGAGACGATTTGGTCGTCAGCGCATGGGTGACATTGAGGAGGTTATGCGAAGAGGAGGTGAAGACATGTGCGCAGACGTGGAGTTAGGTAAAAATATTGGCGGGGAACCGAACGCAATGGAGACGTTTGGCTGAAGCCCAACGTTCCTCTAGGAAAAAAAGAAAACAATAATAATACAAGAGAAGCTTCAACACTTAGCAATAACATAGAAAATCTCTATTTAGATATTTAGAAACCAAAAAGATCGATTGAAGAAATATTTTTCCTTTTCAATTAGATCCTCATCCCACTCTAGCTCTACTATATATATATATATATATATATATAGATCCATAGCATTTACAATACAATACGCAGCCTTTTGCCAATCAGCTAGGATATATGTTTATCAACAATAATTAGTCAGCGGGAAGTCGTGACCAGTAGGGTGCAGCTGGTCGGCTGTGAGGACAAATACTCGCCGAAGACACTGGCTAGCGGTCGCGCTATATCGTGAATTGGCAGAAGTTAGAATTCAAGGACCATTGGATCGGGTCTCAGTGGCTTAATGGTATACGACCTCGCCTTGTAACCGGAAGGTCCTGTGTTCGAATCCTGGCGGGTGCGTACTGCTGAAGAGTCCCAAACTAGGACGAAACGGTTGTCCAGTACTCCCTGCAGGTTTTCCAATGCTCCTCTAACTAATGTCAGCTCATGATGAAATCCTGAAACCAATCAAATCCCTACAAAGCAACACTTGAATAATTAGTCAGTATCAACATGTCATGTGGGTGGTAATTCACGAAGAGAATTAATAAAAACAATTACAGCGTAGAAATGATTGCAACAGGTGGATTTCATAATGCATAATTTCAGACAAAAAATGGACAGTAATTAAGAGAATAAACATGTGTTCAGGCTGATTACGTAATAGGCAATTAGATAAAAAAACAAGATGATTTGCACAATTATAATTTTAAAAGGCTTAAAGGGGGGGAGAGGAAGGCGAAATGCGCAGGTTTTTATATTCATGTAACGATGTCCAAGGTAGGGAAAGTGGCTGCACACAAATTTATTTTGAACACACAGGTTTAGCTTCTTCAGGTAGATATCGATGGCTTCAGTTGTAAAGGAAAGTACAGATTATTTAGAATGTAATAACTAACTTTAAATGCTGTATTAACATCAACTTTATGCTAACTATCTACAAGATGTGCTAAAATAGAGCTAGCCATAAATAGATCTTGTTTGTCCCTTGCTGCTTAACCATGCTGCAGGACGATGTTCGGAAATACGATGATGAACACACATAACTGTACGCAAAAGGTAGCTAGCTGGCTTCGCAACTGTTGTCAAATTGGTAGATATACACAGAGGAGTTGAAATTAAGTAGTTTGTCCTTATTTTCCAAATTTAAAATAAGGATGGCAGTGAAAAGACCACATACCTCTGCTGCACTGATATCTCTTTTAACTACATTTTTCAGGTTGTGCTACTATTTCGCCGATGTCTGCATCAAGGTCCTGAAGTTTTATGAAAGATGGCTTTTCTGGAGCTGTTGCGCTGATAGCCTGTTTTATTTTTCTCAACAGACTTTTCTGGACAACTATTTTTACTAAGCAACTCATTATTATAGCGAAAATATTCATTCAGATATCTATAAAACAAAAAGAATGATTGAGCAAAGAATATCCTTTTCAAGAATCTCCTCTTCTTGCTCTACAATTATATATACATAAGTTTATATATATCGATTATTCTAGAATAGTAGTCAATAACGTGCGTCGTTGGCACAGCGGTTAGGACGCTCGCCGACCATGTACATGGTCCGGGGTTCGATCCCCGGCCGATGCACTCCTTTACCTCGCTAAACCAGAAATAATCCTGGTAAAGAGGAAAGGTTGGGCATGGGGCTAGCAACCCCATCCTGTAAAAACTAAACACTGCCACAGAAACTTCAAGCCTCTAGCTTGGAGCCCTATGTTCCACTGGGAACGTGAAGGAAAAATTATTATTATTATTAGTCAATAACGATATTGGCGTGTTTTTTAAATAACATCGATTGTAAAGTAAGATCATTGGAATTACCGTTCATCAAAGATGCTTAAATAATAATAATAATAAAAATACAGCAGCAAATAGAATATCAACTAAAAATAGGAAATTCCGCAAACATTGAAGATCATTTGAACCTAGAAGGCCGAGGTAAGGATAATGTCTGAACTAACTACTTTTGGATGCATAAATTAGGCTTTTTAACATGCATCCCAACGGCTAGCCTCAGCAATATTTAGTAATCGAACTCGTAAGTCAAACTTAAGATTTGTTGGTATGCCTCAAATGACTCTGAAAGCCACCTACCTGATTAACATTAATCTTGTGTTCTGTATCCACAAGATGAGATAGAATAGCGCTACGAATAAATTTTGTTTTTGTTCTTTTGCTTAACCAACCACTGTGCAGGATGATATTCGGAAATTCGACGAGAAACACGCTTAATTGTACGGCTTATGTAAGTGGCTCCACAGGAACAGTTAAATTGGTAGATACACATGAAAGAAGCGAAATTAGGCAGTTTATCTTTTACTCCAGAACGCAAAAGAGGAGTGATTTAGAAGACGCAGAGTAATTCTGCTTCAGGAAATGCTGTTTTTACCGCATTTCTAAGGCATTGTATTAATATCTCGCTGATGTTGTCCCCAAGGAGCTGCATTTTTATGGATATGCCCTTTTTAAGAACTATTGGTACCTTAGGTTGCTTTGATTTTAGATTCATATTCATATCAATAAACTTTTCTGGATAACCATTTTCACTCAGCAACCGTTTAATATTATTAAGTTCCTCATCAAAACATTTATTAAATAATATATCCATTTGTTTTATATTTTTAGCCAAATGATTATTTCTCAAAAGGTCCAAAAGGTGAAAAAGGCGAGGTAATATTGAGAAGATTTATTCGAAAAATACGTTCACAGAACAACAGCAAATTACAAAGACTTAGACGGGAACAAATGCATGCAAGACATTTCAACTTTCGAGTTTATAGAATACAGGAAAAGCGAAATCGTATCAAACGTTCATCATCAACACCTTCTACAGATCAATCACAACATCGTCCAGATTTATTTTTCACAGGATGGAATAAAATGGATACAGGAAATCAGAAAATTTTAGGCGTAAGTAAAAAAGAAATATTCAGTGGGAAATGCATAAATTTATATTCACTACACTAGTTCATTATCGGTGGCACAGTGGTATAATGGCCACTGATCACGCCCCATGAGGTTCGGGGTTCAATCTCTGGCCGACACACTCATTTACCTCAATAAGCCATTAATACGACTGAAAAAGAGAGGCGCGGGTTTGGACATGAGGCTAGCTAGCACAACCCGGTCCTGTAAAAATAAAGACCACTGCTACCCAAACTTTAGGCACCTTAGTTTGAAGGTGCTCTATGCTCAAATGGGAACGTAAAGGAATACAAAAATGTTTCCGTAGAAATCAACAGTTGAACAACTAGTAGCACCAATACAATAAGAAAAATGTATCTGTACCTCAGGAGGATCTGTTGGCCTATTTTATAGCAAAGTATCTAATCCTTTTGTAGAAACTTCAAGTTATTTATTGTTATTATTACTCCCTTGGTTTCCTAGTAGAACATAATGGGGGCTTCACCTGCACATCTCCATTTGCTTCTGTCTTCCTTCTGCTGTACTTTTCACCTGCTTCCATCCATGTTAGTCCATACATACTGTTTCAACTCCTCTTCGCACGATCTCCTCCATGTCACCCTTGCACTGAAGACCAACTCGCCGCTTCCCTTTCGGGTTCCACTCCAGCAATGGCTTAACGCGCGATGTCACCCAGAGGTCTCCTCAGCGAGTGTCCAATCCATCTCCACATTCTCCTGCATATTTGTTGGGTGATTGGTTCTTGTTTTGTTTGTTCCCATAGTTCCTTGTTGGTGATTCTTTCCGGCCCGGCCATCTGATCTTCAGTATAGAGGGAAGACAGTTGTTAATAAAGGTCTGCAACCTTTTGGAAATATTCTTTGTGACCCGCCCTCCCGCCCGCCAAGTTTCTGATCCGTATGGAAGAACTGACTGAGTTGACGTTTGTATTGAAAATCCGACGGAATTTTGTTGTTGATGCTGAGTTGAGTGACGAAGATTTGCAGATTGGTTTCAGGTTGATGAATGTGTTTCTCACCTTCCTGATTCCTGATTTGACATCCTCGTCCTTTCCCCCTGTAGTTGAGACAATGCTCCCTAGATAAGTGAATGAATGCAGTAACCTCTTTCAAATCCCTCCCGTTGATGGTGATTGACGCTGGATGTTGCTGCTGCTGTTATTGTTGTTAGTTGGTTATTTTCATCACCTCCGTATTGTCTATGTTCACTTGGTATCCTGTCTTCGCCGGCTGCTTCTTTGACCAGTTTTTCGGTTTCCGCTTGTAAGTCTTTGATTTTGTGTGACATCGTGTGACATAAATCATCCGCGAAACAAGAATAATAATAATAAATAATAACAATAAAACAATAATAATAATAATAATTCGCTTTATTCCAAAAACAGTACTAATGATACAGCAAGAAATTTTCAGCATTCAGTACAATATTGCATCTAATTTACTCAAAACTACAAAATAAATACACATTACATAATAATAATAATAACAAAACGTTGTTATGGCAGCTGTGTAGCAAATTACTGTATGCAATACGGAGAAAAATATGCATAAGGTGTAAAATTATAGTAATAATAATAATAACCACTAAAATAAAATAGCAAAGTTATAATTAAACGATAGAAAGGATGACACCATAAAATTACAGAAAGATGAACGACGACGATTCACTTTGCTAATCACATGGTAGCTTATATGTTTCACGTCTAACAGTGTCTTCATCACATAAAATACGGGCTAAATAGGGAGGGTATTGTAGAATTTCTGTACTAAGTGGTACGAACATATAACTTTTTATATTGACTTCTCATCCTACGTGATCAGATGCAAGGGGATGGTTGTGAATAAACGGAGTGCAAGTGGTCTGACAGTACAGCCTCTGCCCATTTAGTACAGGATTTTAAATGTTTCTCGACTATAGTATTGGCAAGTTCACGCAGTGGCATACCACAAACCCTACTCACGGCATTTAATACCCTTCTGTTATGTACTCGTCGAGTAGTTAATAGTTCTGACGCGGAAAGAGGGAAATCAGAAGACCACCAGGTTTACGATGATACTTGTATTTTCCCAGACAAGGAAAATAAATGTCACACAAGAGTGTGAGTGAAATGGTACGTAGTGTACGAAAACGTGGGAACAAGTATGAACAAGAATACAGTGCAAAAGTATAATATGGAGATGACTAATACACATGAACCAATAAACAGACAGTCTTGACATGATTGGTTGTAATGTCATGTGATAATAAGGTCATACATTGTTTATTTAGTCAGTGGACAGACAAAGGCATATTGTCAGTTATAATGAAATATCGATCCATATACACATATCAAAATATAATAGATTGTCAAAAACAAAACACACACACATCATGTGGATACATATCACCTTCGTCATATGATATAGTGATTTTTGAGAAGCCTAGGAAAGATTAATGAAGCGCAACAGAGTACAATAGGTAAAATACAAGAGTTTACAAACTGCAGAAGTAAAGGTTGGTTGATAGCTGATTGTCTAAACTTTTTAATGTAGAAGGTAAGACGAAACATTCTCTTAGAGATAGATAAGATGTGGGATGACCATGTAAGGTCAGAGGAAAGAACTAATCCAAGGTATTTAATGCTTGATTTGGTTTCAATTTCCGTGCCATCTATGCTACAGGTATCATGGGAACTAACTAGTTCATGTATATCATGTCGATGGACAAATATATCAAATAAATCAATACTCTTTTAATGCAAACACTCTCCAATACCCCATAATGTGTCTTCCTCCAGTTTCTTTGAAAAATGTACATAGATAGGTTGAATACCATTTGAAAATGAGTGAGTTTTATTATTATTATTATTCCCGTGAGTTCCAAGTGGAACACACGGCTGGCTTCAACAACACATCTCCATTTTCTTCTGTTTTCTGCCGTCCTCCTCAGCTGGGTCCACGATTGACCAAACTCTCTCATCTCTTTCTCACAGGATCTCCTCCATGTCACCTTAGCACTAACGACCCACTAGTCGCTTCCCTTTGGGATTCCACTTCAGGGCCTGGAGTGCTATGTCATTCGGTGGCCTCCTCAACCGATGCCCGATCCATCTCCACTTTTTCCTACATATTTATTGAGCGATAGGCTCTTGCTGGTTGGTTTGTTCGCACAGTTTCTTGTTGCTTATTTTTTCTGGCCATTTGATCTTCAGTATGAAGCCAGCGAAGGCATCTGTTAGTGAGAGTATGCAACCTGTAGGAAATCGTTTTCGTTACCCCCCCCTTGGTCACTTTTGTGACCCATATAGAAGAACCGACTTCACATTGGTGTTCAACCGAATCCGAATCTGATTGTTTATGCTGGTTGAGTGAGAGAAGCAAAAAATTTCCAAACTGGTTTCAGGTTGATGAAGGCGCGTATCTTGCCTTTCCGATTCTGACTGGCCTGTTTTGACACCTTTGTCCGTTCCGACTGCCTGTAGTTGAAACGATGCTTCCTCGCTAGATAAGTGAAGGAGTCAGCCTCTGCTAAAGCTTTTCAGTTAATGGTGGTTGGTGCTGGTTGTTGTTACTGTTGATTGGTTATCCTTATCAACTCCGTAAAAAGTTTGAGCATTGTGGATTAGATCAAATAAAGTATAATTATATTTCAATAATTTACACACAATGATAAGTTTTGTTATTGGTAATATTTCGAGCAAAATCACTACTGCCCGTGTTCACACCACTGTTGGAATTGTTTTATTCACACATTTATGATTTGTACTCATATATATAGTTCATTATTATTATTATTTTGCTCATTCATGTTTTGTGTGTGCATATGTGTGTTCAGAATTATACTCCACATTCATTCATGTGTTTGTGTTTAGAATTATATTCCAAGTTGTTGATAGTTGTACTGAGTCACCCTTGTTACATGTATCCGGTGTGACTTTAATGAATATCGATTCTGTTATGAGTCTTTCTTTCCATTTGTTCATGTTTGTTTTTAGAATACACACATTGTCCCAATCGATATTGTGGTTTTTGTCCCGGGCTGCATGTGCAGCTATCGTTGAAATTTTTTCAAGATTCTTGTGTCCCTGTTGGTTGACCTTTAGTTAGGCGTTTATGTTCATTCACTCTTATTTTGAGTGATCTGGACGTTTGCCCAACATATTTAGTTGGACAGTCAGCACAAGATATTTTATAAATCAAATTGTTTTTATCCATCATTTTTATGGGATCTTTCAGTTGATTTATTTTATTTTTGATTAGATTTGTCGGTTTAAAGGTTGTTCGAATACCGATATTTTTGAGGTTTCTTTGTATTGCCTCTGATGTACCATTTTTATACGGCACTGTGACTGTTTTTTTCCATTCTTCCATCTTGTTATTCTCCAGTTTTACCGTCTTTTCTCTCTTTGTTATATTATCTTTTGTAAATTCCTTAAGGTAGTTGTTTTCGAGTAGCATTTTGAATAGGACTTTTATTTCTTTACACTGGTCCTCTGGTGCTGTTGTAAGTCTACGTATTCTATCTGCAAGACCTTGTATTAGTCCTCGTTTTACCGAGAGTGGATGAGCTGAGTAATAATCAAAGAATCTTCCGGAATGTGTGGCTTTTCTATATATCGTTGTTTTTATGCTACCATCTGTCATTCTTTGTAGTTTCCAATCTAACATGGCCAGTTCTCCACTTTCATTCTCTAATTCCATAGTGAATTTTATTGAGTCGACGTGTCTGTTTATGTGTGATAAAAGTTTCTCAGTATCGTTTTTTTTCACTATTACTAGTGTGTCGTCTACATATCTCCACCAACACTTTAGTGATGATCTGAATGGTTTAAGGACATTCTCCTCCCAATAATCCATGAATATGTCAGCTATAATTGGTGAGATAGGCGCGATCCCATAGCTACTCCCTCATTTTGTTGGTATATTTTTCCTTCGAATGTGGCTCATCAACTCCGTTTCCTCTATATTCACCTGTAGTCTTGTTTTTGCTACCAGCCTCTTCAGCCAGTTTATGTGAAATTAGACACATCATCCGCGAAATTAGGATCTACTAGAGTCTTATAATCGGTCAAACGTATTCCTGTCTTGTCACACCCAACACACAGTCTTCTTCATTATGCGATACACAAAAGTTAAGAATATCATCAGTGATAATAGACGACCATCTCTTACTCCTGCACGCACTTCGAACGCCTCTCGGAGTTTTCCGTGACTCTGTCAAATAGACAAATGTTGAACGAGGTTGATAAAGACTTGAGGTACGCAGTAGTGTAGAAGTAGTTTCCAAATTACTTCTCGGTCAACGCCGTCTGTCGAAGGCCTTTTCGAAGTCGATGAAGTTGAGGTAGAGATTGGTTTGACTACCATTCCATGCTTTGTTCTGTGATGACGATGCGTACAGCTACAATTTGATCAGCACATGATTTGCCTTTCCTGAATACAGCTTGTCCCGGTGGGTCTGACAGAGTTCTGTTTCCAATGCATCTATTATTCTTTCCAGGTTGTTAAATTAGAGAGTACAAATCGCCATTCAAAAAATACATGAGTAGTTGATTCAAAATAACATGAAACCGAGATGAATTTGATTCACTTTCATGCGTGGAAACTTAGTCGCCTCGGTGACTTAATAAACTAATCGCCAAATTAAATTTGATTTCATTTAAACCGCCTTCTCTTTGCGCTCAATATTCAATTTTAGGTTAAAATAATTCACAATATAAATGAATTGAAAACAATTGGTACAGTCTTACCAGCTGGTGCTTTAGTTGTTAGTGAAATGCCATCAACAGTATCATCGAATAAATACACATTTCAATGGGATTCACAAATAAATCAATTGAATTCACTTGGTTTATTCATGAAAACTGAATATGTTAATAATACATGGATAAGAGTACCTGTGGTAAGTCTTTTCAAATTTTTATCAATGTAATGCTGTATTAAATGAATAATGCATAACGAAATATCCTACGTTTGCGTCTTCATAGCTGTACATCCTTTTCCTGGCGTTCTATGAATGACCTACTGTAGCCGTCTACTGCGGCATTATAAGATTTAGGGAATGTTACCTTGACTGTCGAATTCCATGTGTATAAGTTGACTTGTTCTTTTAGGGACAGATAAATTCGTTGATTAACATAAGTTGATGCATTAGAAAGCAATTCCCAGTTTGGATGGGCAAATGAGAATATTATTATTATTATTTTATTTTATTGCTTTACGTTCCCAGTGGGACATAGAGCAACTTCAAGTTAGAGGCTTGAAGTTTCAGGAGCAGTGATGTTTATTTTTAAGAGATGAGGTTACTCGCCAGCCTCATGGCCAACCTTCCCTCTTTACCAGTCTTATTAATGTCTTAGCGAGGTAGAGGGGAGTGAGTTGGTGGCTGGAGGTTGAACCCCGGACAACCTGCGTGGTTGGCAACCATTCTACCATTGCGCCACAGACGCAAATGACAATATAATGACATTAATTCATCTGCATTACAACAAACAGTACATAATGATCACATAGCTTCCGATGCATCCTTTAATATAATTTAGCCGTGGATATGTACTAATGAAGATTTCCAGACTCGAACGAAATAATAATAATAATAATGATAATTTGCTTTATTCCAGAAACAGTACTAGTGGTACAGTATGGAATTTTCAGCACTTATCTACAATGTTGTATCTAATTTTATTAAACATTTAAAAAGGAGTATTTCAAAAAATAAGTATAAAACAACAAAAACAACAAAAAATAACACAAAATAGCAAGAAAAAATGCGAAAAAATATCAAGAAGTAGAATGAAAAATAAACAACATAAATAATATAATAAAGTATTGGGTAGTGGAAGCTATGATATGTTTATGCGTGGTGAACATTAACAGCTATAGTCATCCTAGAAGTTATGAAATGATATTCAAAATGTTTATAGCCAAGATGATCAGTTAATTTGATTGAACTACACTAAACAATCATAAAATAAACATTTCAGGGTTTTTTATTTTTATTGTCAGGTCTAATGCGGTGTTTGTTGTGGTAGTCTGAGTGATCCTGCATAATACAAAATTTTAAGATTGTGATAATGGCGTTCACAACCAAGATTGTCAGTTAATATTGCCGAACAAAAAACAATCACAAAACTAATATTACATGATGGTTAATGACAGAGCAATTTTGTAATACTTATATTCATAATATAGTTGAAACCAGTAGATACACAAAAGAAGGAATAGAATAAAGTACAAAAAAGTAAGCCAATCTTAATAATTTAGGTAGCTAAGTATGTTTAAGAAGGTTGTTCACTATAGAATACAAATAAGAGAGAAATAAAAGAGCCAAAATTATGTTGTTAAAAGCAAAGCAAGTCATAGGTTTCACGCTTAACACTGTCTCTGTCACTTAGAACACGGGCCAGATACGGTATCGTTGATTTCCTATACTTGGTTGTACGAGCATATATTATTTTGTACTGATTTCTGATTCTACCTGATGAGATACAAGGAGAGAGTTCGGAATAGAGGCGGTGTTGGGGGTTGAAGAGTATGGTTTTAGACCTTTTTTGGCATGTATTCAGATGCTTTTCTACTAATGCAGTGACGAGCTGACTGAGTTTTACACCACTGGTCCGACTAACTACCTTCAACATCCTTCTCAAGATGTCCAGTACTTCTTAGTTTTCAATGGTTCTTTAAATGACATCAGCTCATGGTCACATCTATTTCTGTATTAATTTGTCTATTAGTTATATCAAATCTTTAAATATCCCCATTATTATTATTATTAGAACAAGATATATAGGCGAACAATATCGTTGTTTTCAATTAGATCTTCTTCAGACTTTACTCTAATGTACACAGATTTATATATATATATATATATATATATATATATATATATATATATATATATATATATATACATAAGAGGTGCATTCGTGAATAGTGATGATACATCCATGGATAATACACATTTATCCCTCACATTAGTCCTGGATATTTTAGAAATGGAGTCAAAATCATCACTTTATTCTAAGTGGCACAATTTCTTTATGCAAAGGTCCCAGAATCTTCACTAACCACTTTACTGCTCTGTGAAATGGAGAGTTATACATATATATGAAACAGTGTGAAGAGGAAGACCTAGTTTATGCACTTCGGGAAGACAGGAATACAAAGATGGTATTGTTATCTTTATTGCGTTTTCTTAAATTTTACTATGGGAATACTTTTTATATTTAATTATCTACGGATGATATCAACCAATGATTAAACAAACTTTATAACCAATCAAATCAAGGGAAAATTAACACTTGATAAAAAACGATCATTTCTCGTATGAGTACCAATCTAATCTCCCCTTCCTTTTTAAAAATATTCTTTACAGAAATTCGAACGAGAAATTACATATGGCATTCCTGAAGTAAGTAACAATTGTTTCTGAGTTCACATCTTTTACTTACAAATATTACAGAATTCATACTATCTACTGATTAAAATTGTTAGTAGTATGAAAGTATGACTATAAAATCTCACCGGAAATGTTAAGGTTTAGTAAATATTTGAAATTATTGCCTGTTTTTGGAGTTTTATAAAACATGTTTCAATGATTTTGTGTGTATTGTAGAATGGAGTTGTCAATTTTATGTGCTTACTTTTCATGCGGCTCATCTAGGAAAGAATCAAATAGCTCATTGCTGCTTAGTTCTACATTTCTCAAATGATTCACATAACGAGGTAATGAATGGAGAACATTCACCTTGACCACTGTTCTCATATCAAGAATTAGACGGTATTAACGTGCAATAAGAAGTGATACAGTTGATGACTAATTCGGTGCATTATTACTGTTAGGTTCCGAATGGAATAGATGATTTCAGTTGTATATCTCATAATCATCCTATTCTTCTGAGGATTCCTTTTAAGCTGGCTTCATGGTTGACTGTAAACTATCACTTCCTTCCGCAAATGTTCAACTCAATGTTTCCCACCTGGGTCTGACTCGAGGACCTGGCGTCCAAGGGGTACTTTATGATCTACTCAGAATATGTTCAGTCCATATCTATTTCCTTTTGCATATTTTGTAGGCCCATTGTTGAGTGTGCAGATGATCTAACTACTTCAATGTCTGTTAACTCCCAGCTAGACTATACTAAGATGAACAGCTTTCTATCGAGAGTTGGCAAATGATCTTCATCTAACTGCCTTAAACGAAATCCTTTCAAATTTCAGTTTCCGATGTAAATGAAAGTTAGATGAAGCTGTTAGTTCCTATGACCCTTGCAAAATTGATGATAATGATGTAGAAATCAAGTCTGAAGTTAAGTATGTTGGATTAATTCTTTCTTCTGACCTATCCTGGTCTTCTCACACATCTTAGCGGTTTCTAAAAGAATATTCTGTTTGACTTCTCTTTACATTAAGGAGTTAAGGCACTAAGGAGTAACTCAACTAAACCCTCCTCTAACAGCTTGTCAACTCGTGCATCTTAACTATTCTTCTTTACTGTCCACCCTTATTCTCTCCTGGATTGCTTAAAAAGAACTATGTCATACTTCGTAGAACTCTGAAGATTTTCAGTAGGGTGAGTGGTATCCCATTGAGCCATACTGTTGACATCGTCACTGATAAGCACTTCATTTCGTGTGACAAATTTGCTAAAGGACTTTTGTCACACAGTTTGAGCATCCACCGCAGCACCCGCAACTCTAACCTTGTGTCTCCTCAGGTAAATCAGGAAGTCTTTTTAGAAGAATTTATGCACATACGTCGAAGTATAAAAATTCCACTACATCATATTTGGCAGCACTTACTTTATGCGATGAAAATAGTGTCAGGTATGAACTAACTAACCTTCTTTGCACTATTAAATAAACCATTTCCTCCATCCTTACAGTATCAAACTTCATTGTTATCGTATTTCATATATTTATAATCCTCTCAATTTTTTGTTTTTATTTATTTATTTTTCATAAGTGTGAATATAATTTAAGCTGTGTTACCACTGTTAATCTTGTATTTCCCCTCACTATATTATATCAATACTCTATAATAACATGCTAAAATTTCCAAGCTGAATCGACAATACTGTTTGAAACAAACTCACTGTTATTATTATTATTATATTTAATGATCTCAATTCGTTCTTCGAATATTTTTGACTTTATATCGTAAATGTGGACAAATTCCTCTGGTTAATTTTATTTATAGTTTAAGTAAATCAGATGCAAGGTGTTGTGACAAATGCTGAGAATTCCATTCTGTATTATAAGGACTGTTTTTGGAATAAAGTAGATTATTACTATTATTATTATGACATATAAGGATATAATATGGCTGTTTTCAATTAGATCTTCTTCAGACCTTACTCTGATTTACATAGATTTATTTATAAAAATTCTAACCAGTGAGCATGAGTTCGTGGATCAAATAAATAAATAAATAATAATAACGTGGTAAATATTTTGAATGGGTTCGAACTCCTTTCAAAAGGCTCAATGGAATGCGATCGATAACTTTGGAGGCACTTCTTCTGTTCTACCTTTGTATTCCCCTAACCTGACCTAGGTAAATTATAATCAAAACCCTTCCATCAATTGGTGAGCATTCTACCTCTGCGCTACTGACGCTGAAATAATCACCGAATCATTCTTCTAATTTTTTACTTATACATTCTACCTTCTGTTTCTGTCTTTCATATTTAGCATACTGAAGAAAGGCGTGATAAATTACCTCATAAAAGAGAATCACCTCCTTCATTTGATAGTACAAGATATAAAGAAAAGGTAAGCTGTATGCTTTGTCTACTTTTAAATTACCGAAAATACCCATTGAATCATAAAGAAGATAAACGACAAATTCAGCGAAGACAATTTTCCTCATCGACGAAATCATCTTCCCACGCTGGCTGTACAGTCGTATTTATATTCCCCAAAAATGTATATTAGTCTATTATTAAGTCCATTATTGATACAAATACTCAGAGGTGGCTTAAGAAGTAAAAATAAAAGTGTAAATTACGTAGTACTCAGCAGCACAAAGGATGAAAAGGTTAGAAATTTGACAAGGTTTGAAATTGTTATTAAGTGAGAAGAAAGTTGATAGTTGAGGGACAGTTTGACCAGAGTGAAGAGGGTGGGAAAATGTACAAAAGGAGTACATGAGAGTGATAACAGTGAATTAGTTATTAAAGTAAAAACAAACTAAAAGTAAAATTGAAAATAAAATTTTTTTTACAGGGAACGATTAGTGAGGACGTTAGGACCAACAAGGTAGAATAAGAAACTGGACAAACGTTTTCTGTATGCAGAGTTCGGGGCTGTATCGACGAATTGCCAGAGCCTCCGCCATACACAAAATCCGAAACCTGACTCCCTCTGTACCATTTAGCCTCACCTTGAAAGAACCACTGGAAAACCAGCCAAGAGTACTGGACAGCTGCTTCGTCCTAGTCTGGGACTCTTCAACAGGTTTCTTAATGCTCCTCTAACCGATGTCAATTCATGATGAAATCCTGTAACCAATCAATCGAATCTCTCACAAACCAATGCTTGAATAAGCGGTATATTAGTCAAAATGGGCATCCTCTCAGAGTCAGTTAACGGAAATTAGGTTTCAAACGACACGATGTGTATTCTTTCGTATCTATGCATGTAAATAAATATGGATACCAATTTGATTCGGAAAGTGTGTTAATTTTAAAAAGTGGAAACACCAAAAATGTCAGGGAATTCCCGGAAGCCTTGTACTCACATGAATTAGCGATTAATAGACACAATACTAATGTAGATCAAATTTATTATCTAATAATAATTAAGACACATGACAAACATATCAAGTTCCAGGTCAACAGAAAAGATGATGACTCATTGAAATCCACAATCGATCACTACAAAGGTTGTTAGAAGATACAATTATATCATATTTGGAGAATTCGAATCAGTTCACCTCATGACAAGGCTTCCACTGAAGTGATTTTGCCTAGAAGGACAATGAAAGTATCGCAACTAAACCAACCAACGAACGTAGAGACAACAAATACATCAAAATCATCCACCTAAGCTGCAAATCTTCTCGACTATTCCAAATCACAGACTCAATATTGATGGGACACTTGTAAAAAACTTGGAAAAAAAATGTCATGCGCTGAGTCCTTATTGACGACTGTAATCTATCAAAGAAGTTTGCAATATGTTCACCTGTAACCATTCAAAAGATAGAATTTATAGAATCCTGTCATAGCGCTAAATAATTCACAGATCACTTAAAAGTTACAACCGTTCATCAGGAGATATAAATTAAAGTGGCTTAATGGTCTACGAGCTCGCTAGCCTTGTAACCAGAAGGTCCTGGATTCGAACCCCGGGGTGTGTACTGCTGAAGAGTCCCAAACTAGGACGAAATAGCTGTCCAGTACTCCCATCCAGTTTTCCAATGGTTCTCTAACCAATGACAGCTAATGATGAAATCCTGTAACCAATCTACCAAATCCCTACAAAACAATACTTGAAGATATAAAGTAGTCAGAACACCAAGACCCACTCTACAACTTGCCCCTAAGAAAGACGTGTACATCAAGCTACCCTATATGGAGCACCAAAGCAACTTGATAACTAGACAAAGACTGAACGCTGTTGGTGTTAAAAAAGACTTTTAATGCAGCTAATATTATAATAATTGAGAATGTGAAGCCACATATCCATCTGAGCCCTTCGAACATGCGAAAAATGATGTCACATCCCACTGTATTTACCAATTTGAATGTACATGTGGAAACACAAACAAAGGGAGGACTCATCGATCTCTGTAAGTAAGGGCCGGCTTCAGAGCATATTCCTAAATGGCTCCAAAAACAAATGGAATCTTCAGAACCACCCATTACTGGTGAGAACAGGAGACCTAGCTCTTCTATCGCGAAATATATTATAGAGAGAGGACATAAAATTGACGTTAACAGATATTTTAAACCTATCTATAAAACGTGTTTCGGGCGTATCCTAAAGGTTGTGGAAGCCCTAGCTGGCAATTAGAAAGTTTAAATCACCTTTATGCTTTCATAAAGAACAATTCGTCATCACATATTAAACCTTCCTTGGTAAATTTATTTTGATACCAGCTAGGGTAGATGTACTATTTGGTTTAGTGGTCTTCATTGTTATATTGACCTTGAATATGTCCTTTTAAACTTGACCTAAGTAGTCTATTTTCTCACCTCTTACCTCTTTATTAATTTCATATATAGTCATACCTATGACAAGTCCGTGTGTGATGGATCAGATTGTTCGAAATGTGTTGCGCGAATACAACATTGCGCGATTCAGACAAATTACGTTTTCTTATTGGTTTATCTAAAATATTATCCCCAGTTTCTTATTTTTCTTCAAAATTTTAGATTGTATTTGCATTTCATCCTATACCGTTTACTGGTGGATCTTTCTCTGGTTGGCATGGTGCTGATGCTAACTGTCACCAAACTGCTTTACATCGTCTTGGAATTCCACGATTTAAAGCATTTCTTGTAGATAAAAATTTTCCAGTTGAACGTCTTGTAAAATGGCAATATCAAAATATTCCTGTGATAAATTTAGAGGTAAGTGTAGATAGTTCCACTTAGATACCAGTTTGTGTACGTCATAGAGTTATTAGGAGAGTTAGTTACGACTTATTGGTGAAGTTTCCGGATTTCAGAAGGAATGTAAACTTTCTTCAAGAATGAAGATACATTTTACTGATGAGTGCTGGTAAACACGAAACCTTTATTCCGGGGATTCCAATCATATGGCTTCCTTTTACAATATGATACACCAATGCAATGCCACTTACTACAGTAACTTATTCATATCAGAGATAAAAGGCGACAAGTTTGTTAAGACCATTCAAAATCAGAAAGTATCTTAAAAACTCCTTAGCTTGGGCCTTTTGTTGGTGCTTCTCTCCAAAACACGAGGCTACGACAGACAGGTTACTAGTCCTCGAAAAGGTTACCAAGCTTATTCTTATTAACGCCTTTAACTTCAGTATAAGTGATATGCCGTAGAAACCTCAACACACTGTTAGTATAACTGCAATTGGTGCATCTTACCATTATAACAAAACCTTTCAGGAATAATCGTTCCAGCTAGTTTAGCTCTTCTTATCATGTCTGGGTGGAGAGTAACAGCACTCAGCATGAAAAACACGACCCGGACTTCCAATTCCAATGTGAAGACAGTGCTAATTTACGGATCATAGACTTGGCGCCACGTCACAAAGGCCACTTTGAACAGATTACAGACTTTCATCAACAACTTTCCTCGCTCAGTACTACTCAAGACTAGCAACAGGGATCTCTGCCGGTGAACAAACCAACCTAGAAGGAACCGAATGTGCGACATGTATGCAGGAAAAAATGGAGGTGGATTGGTCATACTTTGAGAAAACATCACACGACACGCCACCACTGGAGTGGAACTCAACCGAATGGGAAGCGGGGAGTTGGTCGTCAGTGTGACGGGGTGACATGGAGGAGGTGATGTGAAGAGGAGAGAAAAGCAACTAAAGGAGATAATAACAAAATTGTAGACAACAACTTACGTCAATATTTATGTCTCCAATCAACGTCATATGAGAAAAAACAATAACAGGGTTTAACCTCAACGAACTCACCAACCAATCATATCAGACTTAACGTGTGCAAATACGGTTCGCAGATATGTTGCTCAACTATCTAAGAAACGGTCACAAGCAGTACAGAATAACCTTCAACAGGAAAATAACCAATCAGAAGACGTTGCTTCTCCTCTGACAATGATGTACATAAAAATCTATAAATATCTGTTGATTTTCTCAACAAACGATCTGTTGCCTGACCGTTTCTTTCTGTCGTTACAATATCCCTCCGATAGGCAAGCTCACCACGGTGTCGAGATAACACCCGTCCTTTTAGATGCTTTGGACAGTCAACCAAGCAGAAACACTAGCAGAAATTTTATAACCTAAGCTGTATACATTTGCCTTTATTCAAATTCGTTTCCGTGAGTTCTGAGTGAACCATACGGCTTTTAGAAACTCATAGCCAATTTATAACTGATATCCTGTGGTTCCAGTCAACTTATTCTCTAAGAAGTGGCTTGAATTATCACAGATCTCATGAATTATTCTACATACAATAATAATCTTACAGTGTTCTATCAATACATGACTGAAAATGATGCCTAGCTTGACATTGAAACATTAATTTGTCGATAGATAATTCATATGGCAAGTGAAACACCAGTCGCGGGGGAGTAAAAGTGAAAATAAAAGCAGTTTTCCACACTTATTCATAATATCTATTTATTCTTTTGATAAATAAGAATAGTTGCTGTTTATGATTACTAACTCTTTTCTTACCCAAATACAATCATCGTCTCATAGAGTCAAATAATATTTCCTAAATGGAGAGATTTCCTCTATGGTGTTCGTTCAAATGTGAATGTACCATTCTACGATTTAAACGGGATGCCTGATGTTCAAAGCTCTGCAAAGTAAGTGTGACAAAATGCATCATATTAAATTCTTATCGTAATTTTGCGTTCCCATTCTTTATTTAACCTCGCCATATTATATACAATGAGATTCCCTATTATAAATTTGAACAAAGAAAGAATAAACATTGTCGCTGAATAATCTGGATCCATTTTATTTCGTTGGTTCTCATCACCAACTGCGTACAACCTTTGTCCATTAGCAAGCATACTGTCAGAGTGTCATAGTAAAATAAGGCGTTGAGATTTACAGGGTGTCTAAAGTGTTACGACTTACATATATATATATATATATATATATCTTGGTAGAGAAAAGTTTCTTGAAGAAAAATTGACTAACTGTTGTGTTGTTGGGGTGGTAACAAAAGAAATTTAGCAAAAGTTACGTAATTAGATAAGAGAAGATCAAAATTTCAGTGCACATGAGGTCAGATGAGAAGTTGATGGTGGAGTACAGTAAACAGAACTCAGAGGATCAATAAAAATTATCTCATAAGATAGTCAAGCGAAACTCACTTCTGAGTAACTCTTTGTTTTCTAATTTTGTTAATTTTGTTAGCTTATCTTTTCACTCCACCCCCCACCTTTATTTTTCGCTTGACTCTCTTAAGAGATAATTTTCTTCTTGATCTTCTGAGTTCTGTTCACTGTATTACATCATCAACTTCTCATCTGCGTCGGTGGCACAGTGGTTAGGACTCTCGCCGACCATGCACATGGTCCGGGGTTCAAGCCCGCACCGACGCACACCTGATATCTATGATCGGCCTGCAAAATTTGGGCTACCGATATCCATGCTGAAAATTCCATACTTGTACCGAAAATACAGTGTGGGATCAAGCTGTAAATCAAAAATTAAAAATTAAATCTGACATCATGTGCACTGAAATTTTAAAATTTTGAATTCCTCTTATCTAATTACGTAACTTTTGCTAAATTTCTTTTGTTACCACCCCAACAACACAACAGTTAATAAATTTTTCTTCAAGAAACTTTTCTCTACCAAGATATATATATATATGTAAGTCGTAACACTTTAGACACCCTGTAAATCTCAACGCCTTATTTTACTATGACACCCTGACAGTATGCTTCCTAATGGACAAAGGTTGTACGCAGTTGGTGATGAGAACCAACGAAATAAAATGGATCCAATGTATCTTCTCCCTATATTAGTTAGTTATATCATTTTACCGTTTAAGTTTGTGGTGTAAAGAGAAGGAGGTTGATGAAGACAATACTCGTCGTTTACCACTGGGAGCTTGTTAACTTCATAATTTATAAATATTAGCAGCCATTCTCTAAGGGGGGAATGTTGTGTATAATGACGCCTATTGCTTATCAGAGTCTTCCCAGAGTTATCAAATCCACTGACACTTCTTCGGAGATGTTGCCGGATATACTGCTTAAATCTGTTTATGAGTAGTACACACCACAGATATCCGGAAGAGATCAGCATAAAACGAAGAATATCAGTTCTGATGTTTACCACTGAAAGATTATCTGAGTACAGTCATGCCATATAGAGAATTTTTGGATTGAACCAGCAGCAAGCAGTAATATAAAATGAATGACTTAATTCTGAAAAATAATTGGTCAAAAGACTTTTCATTGTCAAATACGCGCAACCGCGGAAGCAAACTGATTTTAACGGGTTCCAAACGCGATGAGGAGCGATAGCTAATCAATACCAATCTAACCAAAAGTCCCTACAAGGACGGACAACAGTAGTAGGCGATTAAAACGAAAAATATAGAAAAGACTTCGGCGACAGGTAACATCAGACGACTATTTAGGCTTATTAGGGTAAGTGGCTATTAAAAGGAAATGATACGTGAAATAACCTCCGAGAAAAATAGCACCCTAATTGACTCTCAGGAGAGACGACTGAAACGTTGGAAAAGACACTTTGAGGAGCAATTTATCTTGCCTACAGCCACGCTGAAGTTACCCAGCATCCAACAATTACTAGACTGTATCTGGAACAGAGGTTACGGATGGTGTCTATATGTGATACGACGCAAAGTAGTAGGATCCGATGAGATGATTCCAGAGGTGCTTACGTTCGGTGGTGACTGACTGTTGTTTGTTTAACTGAGCTATTTTACGATGTCCAAGAATCAGAGATGGTTCCACTAGACTGGTGTGAGTCCTTGATCATCCTGGTTTACAAGGAGCGGGACAGGACTTCCTGTGATAATTACAGCGGTATAAGCTTAAATAATATTGTATATGAGGTTCTAGGCTCAATAAACATGTTTAAGACTAAATAATGCTCAGGAAGAACAAATCCAAGAGATCTGACAGACGTTATGCCAGGAAGACGATGTACTGATGATATCTTTACGCCTTCAAAGGTTCTCGAAAATAGGCATACTTAACCGCGGCCAGCACTATTCAGAGTTCCTGACCTACAGGTGATGCAGGGAAATGTTTGGCTGTGATGCGACTACCGAGAAAGTATATTATACCAATCAAGGCACTCTAATAGAACTCGCGAAGCCATGTAGGACCCTATGGAGAGTTTTCATCTGAAGTGATGAAAACCAATGGCCTACTTTAGACAGGGATGTCCACTGTTCCCATTTCTCTTTTCATCTTGGATGTACAAATGGAATTAAGCCTAACCGGCTTCAGTGGCTTGGCTATTGACTTATTACCAAAGAACAGTCTTGTTGACTTGGAATAAACAGGTGATATAGTTCTCCGACGTGAAGACGATGATAAAATGCAAAGTTTTCTGAGTGCCTTAAGTAGAAATCTTAGAATATTTGATAGGTTATTTGCTGCAGAACTCGACTGCATTGACTCCTAGTCTAAAGATAGGCAGGAGTGAAATGGTAGAGCGTATTGACCACTTACTTCACTTATTTGGGAACTTGAATCAGCCCGAACCAATCAAACAAAAATCCCTACAAAACAACGAATACTTGAAAGTGGATCTGAGGCTCACTAGCGACTGGCCCGTATTCAGGCAGTCACCTGGGCTGGTTCCAGTGGGAGGCCTTGATCAGTAGAGTACAGCAGGTTGAAGATGAGGCACAGTGGTCGCGCTATGTCATGAATTGGCTGGCAGAAGTTAGAATTCTTAGGCTAGACATTGGATCGGGAGGGACCCAGTGGCTTAATTGTCTACGAGCTCACTAGCCTTGTAACCAGAAGGACCTGGGTCTGAACTCTAGTGGTGATGGGGGTGCGTAATGTTGAAGAGTCCCGAACTAGGATGTAGGAAACAGCTGTCCATTACTCCGGCGCTGGCATCACCTCATGATGAAATCCCCCAAGCAATCAGGCTAATTGCTGACAAAATCTAAACATGACTACAAAAGACTCATGTGGCGTTTGCCAACTGGCATCATAATCTGGCGCAGACATGATATCCGGCTGGTTATGGATCAAAGAACGTGTATACTGAGCAGCAATTCACTCCGTCCTCGTTTATGTCTGTGAAATATGATCACTGAAAATGGAAGACATGAAAAGAGGGGGGTCAACATCGACATCAAGGATTGCGAACACGATTAATCAATATAGATAGGAATATCTCCACTGAGTAATTAGGTTTTATTATGTATATAATACAATAAATACTGATGAATATATATATGTATGTATATACTCCCTTTATATTTACAGCAGAAGCTTTTGGCTTGGAGGTGGAGTAAATTTTGGATGCGATGATTGGACTTCTAGTTCCCCTATGAAATATGGTCTTGTATGGTCATTTGATTATTTAACTGGAGAGATAAAAATCAGCTATGCAAAGTGTAATTCATACAATTATCTAATGTGTTATAAGCTATTACGCTTACCAGTAGTAGCTTTATAATAAGAAAGTGGGGAAGCTTTATTGTAAACAGATTTAATGTGTGCATGTGTGTGTGTGTGTAGGCGTGCATGCACGTACGTACGCACTTCAATTTTCCTCCTTCAACTTATTCATTTAATATTTTACTTTCATGAGTATATAAAAGAAAAATATATCATTTGTAATGTTCAAAGTGTCTTTTAAAATATCTTCAAACGATTAATTCAGTTCATTTGTATTTGTTGAAGGATTTCATCAAGAGATGAAATCAGTTAGAGAACCATTGAAAAACCACCAAGGAGTGAGTACTGGACAGCCGGCTGTTTCGTCAGCCTAGTTTGCGACTCTTCAGAGGTAGGCAACCACACCACGGGGTTCGAACCTAGGACCTTCTGACTGATTTCAACATAGAACAACTTTGCACCGATGTGCAAAAGTTCAAATCGTCACACTTCACTCAGTACACATAGCTAGAGAAGAAGAATAAAGTAAAAAGAAACGCAAAGTGGAGACAGTAAACACAGATATGGGACAAAAAGAGTAGTAATATCGAAGAACAATATAGTTTTATTGGGTATTATTATAAGTTACAAAGAGTGGATGCATCTGTGCTAACCATTGAGAACGATCACTTTGAACCATATCACCAATTGTCTCCAGCCATTGGATTTTAACATCCCTGGGACTCTAACTAGAAAGTGTACACCTTCCTACTTTGCTAGCTGTCTTAAACTAACTGTTGTGGATTTCATTGACTGATGAAGCCGTGTTTTGTTTTGACCACCATTGGCTGTGATCAAAGATAGCTAACTAGCCAGGCTTTTCATATCTTGCACTCTCAATGGCCAGGTATCACAGCTGGCCATAAAGGAAGACGAAGAGGACTGCTGAGCAGTACACACGCCCTTTGGTTGACAGCCAGCCGGATATCATGTCTATGCCGGAGACGGCGTAAACTAGCATATGCGAAACTAGACTTCTGTATCCATGCTGAGATTTCATCGGAGATCAACCCGTTGGGTTGGCTGGCTAATGCAGCTTCCCAAATAAGTGAAGCAGTGAACGTGCTCTTCTACTTAACTCCCTATTTCTCAGCTAGTAGTCAGTGTAGTCCAGTCCTGTAGCATCATCTTACATTTGATGGGAGCCAGTCGCATGCCAAACAAACACAGATTGCAACTCAAGGTGTTCAGAAGATTCTGTATTTTGTCAGCGTCTTCACCTAGGAGACAGGACTATATCATCCGCATATTCTAAGTCAACGAGATTATTCCCTGTTACAAGTCAATCCCTCAGTCTCTGAAGTGAGTTAGGGTTATGTCGATGAATACATGTATGTTGAAATTGAGTAGAATTAGGGATAGTGTGTATCCCTGTCGGACACCAGTAGGACTTTCTGGTTGCGAGGCGTGACCAGTAGGATAGAGTAGGTTGAAGGTGAGGCAGTAATTCATCGAAGAAGACATTGCGAAGTGGTCGCGCTATATCATGAATTAGCAAATGTTAGGATTCCTGGGCTGGCTGCTGGATCGGGCGACACCCAGTGGCTGAATGGTCTAGCCTTGTAACCAGGTCCTGGGTTCAAACACTGTCGTGTAATGTCACTAAATGGTTTATTTTCTCAGAGTGTGGCCAATCCACCTCTATTTCTTCCTGCATGTCTGTTGCACAATTGGTTCCTGCTGGGTTAGTTCGTTTACTGACAGAGATCCGTGTTGCTAATCTTTTTTTGCCGGCCATCTGTTCTTGAGTATTGAGTCAAGACAGCTGTTGATGAAGGTCTGTAGTTTCTTTGAGGTGTTCTTCATGACGCGCCAAGTCTCTGATCCATAAAGTACCACTGACTTCACATTGGAGTTGGGAATCCGGATCTTATTTTTCATGCTGAGTAGCGCTGTTAACCTCCACACAGACTTGAAAGTAATAAAAGCTTGAGTAATCAATATAAATGGATATTTTCAAAATTATTACGTAATTCCAGCTTCCTTCCATTATTCTAATCTCCACTTAGTCTTCTCTCCCTGGGTCACATCTCATATTACGTAACTTGTTTTCTACAACTCGGTTACGAGTGTCTAACTGGTTTCATGTATCCTTTGTTAAACATAAATACAATTATACAGCTCTGAAAAATGATTCGTAGAAAAGGGAATACTCTTCTATAGTTTATGATCCAAGATGGGAATTTCCCGTTCTTTAGAATGGCATCACGTAAATGTTCACACAGCGCGGAAGCGTTGGATCGGAAACATGTTGAAGAGTATTGGTTGTCCAGGGATTTTGTTTGATTGTATGGAGGATTTCACCATGAGCTGATATCAGTTAGAGAACCACTGGAAAACCCGGGAGTACTGGACAGCTGTTTCGTCCTAGTTTGGGACTCTTCATCAGTACGCACCCACCGGGGTTAGAACGCAGGACCAATACGTGAAAATTCATCTGATGCACACTAGCGTCTGGCTCTATTCAGGCAGTCCTCCGGACTGGTTCTAGTGGGAAGCCGTGACCAGTAGCGTGCAGCAGGTCGAAGATGGGACAGTAACTCATCGAAGAAGACATTGTGAGGTGGTCGCGCTATGTCATGAACTGGCAGAAGTTATAATTCAAGAACCATTGGATCGAGTCCCAGTGGCTCAATGGTCTACGAGCCCGCCTTGTAACCAGAAGGTCCTGGATTCAAACTCTAGTGGTGTGGGGGTGCGTAGTGCTGAAGAGTCTCGAACTAGGACGAAACAGCTGTCCAGTACTCCCGGGTTTTCCAGTGATTCTCTAACTGATGTCAGCTCATGGTGAAATCCTCCATACATGTTGAAGAGACTGTTGTGTGACATCACGCCCCAGGCTATTGCTTGACTGAAAGCTGAATGGGAAATGACGAGCTGCGAATGGATCCGAGTGTGACACAGAAGAGATCATGTGAGGGATAAATTAAAGCTAATGATCAATTTTGAAGCCAACTTGCAATGCCCACAGAGAACAGAGTGATGAAATAGAAATGAAAACAAAACACGTAGTTCAGCCGGCGAATTCATTTTCTACCTTAGCTGTACAATCGCAAATATGGATGTGTGTGCTATTTTGTATGTATGAGTACATTAAGTTTCTATAGTTTGGTTTGTAAGGATACGAGCTTGCCTTGTAACCGGAAGGTCCTGGGTTCGAAACCCAGTGGGTGCGTACTGCCGATGATTCCCAAACTAGGATGAAACAGCAGCTGTCCAGTACTCCCTGGTTTTCAATGGTTCTCTAACTGATATCAGTCCGTGATCAACTCGTAATACATTAAGTTTGTCAAACAAAAATACAATTGGTTAAGGTTATTTTAACCAAACAGGTGAAGATTGGTAATTGGAGTTACGTAACACAAAATCAGTCAAGAAAATTAGGTGTTAATGAAATTAGTTCCATATTAGTTTGATTATTAAATGTATCACACAGTGAAACAGTATTGTATACTGGATGACGTTTCGAACACAATTTATTGTTCATAATCATATCAAATCTTTAAATATTCCCATTTATAATATTAGAACAAGACATATAAGCGAACAATATTGTTTTCATTTAGATCTTCTTCAGGCTTTACTCTAATTTACATAGACTTATATATATAAAATTTTAACCAATGACGGTGATTTAGTGGATCAAATAATAATAGTAATCATAATAATAATAATCATAATAATAGTAATAATAATGTGGTAAATGTTTTGAACGACGTTAATAACGATGATTATAATAATAACAAAATATTGTTAATAAGGCTTATATAGGTGATAAGAATAACAAAGTTAGCATATGCATATATGTAGACAATACAATAAATAAATAAATTAGGTCAAATCAAATGGAACGATAATCAGAGTTTAAATAAATATCATAAAAGTACGAAGGAGAGGGATGATAAGAAAGGGTGGGAGGGTTTTGAATAGAATTCACCTAGGCCAAGGGAGAGACAAAGGTAGAACAAATTTCTTTTGTATACAAAGACTAGGATTGTTCTCTCGAATTCCCATAGCTTCGGCTAAGTGTAAAAGACGGGTTCTGATTCCGTTCGAAAGACTTGATGGAATGCGGTAAATAACTTTGAAAGCACTATTTTTGTCCACTTGGTGACCACTATCAATCAAATGAGCCAAAATAGAACTTCGTATGGACTTTATTTGACCTTTTCCGAACCATGAAGGAAGATGCTCATTAATGCGTTTGTTAAGCTGTCTAGTTGTTCGGCCTATATAGCTTTCTCTACAGGAGCAACTAAATTTATAAATACACATGGAAGTGGCACAACTAGGTAACTTATCTTTCACTTGAGCAATCAAAATTGGCCGGCTGGAAAATGACAAACAGAGGGTGGCGGCAGTATAAGTCCGTTTTTTTTTTTTTTTTTTTTTTTTTTTTTTTTTTTTTTTTTTTTTTTTTTTTTTTTTTTTTTTTTTGATGAACAGTTGTTTCTTTTTAACTGTTATCGGTTTCTCTTTATTGTACTTCGCATTCATGTGTCTCCTGACAAATCTACTAGGATAACCCATTTGGACTAACGTATTTTGGATGTATCCTAGCTCATTCTCTAGAGAGTCATCTGTACAGATGCGTCTTGCTCTATTCGTCAGGCATCTGACCAAATTGATTTTGTAACGGATTGGTACATAACTGAGGAAATGTGTATATTGTCCTACAGATGTAGGTTTTCTATAGACATCTCTCTTTAGTGAACCATCCTCTCTTCTGCTCAATTGGACGTCAAGAAAATGTAGTCCACCATCATATTCTTCTTCACAAGTGAAGATAAGCGATGGATGTGCATCGTTAAACTTTTTTAACATTTCATTCTTGTCAGCTTTCACATCAAGAATAATAAAGGTATCATCAACATAACGAAAATAAGAATCAGCTTTTTCTATTACTTTTTTCAATGGACCATTTTCAATCTTGGCAAGAAAGAAATCTGCTAAAATTGGCCCCAACGGAGAACCCATGGCAATACCGTCGATTTGCCTGTAGTAAAGGTTGTTAAATAT